TTTAAAATATATATATTTTAAAAATAAAGGTCCAAGGGAGATCCAGAAATTACAGATTGGTTCATTTAATATCTTTTCTGGGGAAACTGGCAGAAAGCATTATTAAAGATACAATTGCCAAACATATATTAGAACAAGTCTTGATCAAGAAAAACCAGCATCACTTCAGCAAAGGTAAAGTCCTGTCTAACCTTTTAGAGTTTTGGGGGATGGTCAATAAACATATGAATATGGCTATCCAGTGGGCATTTTGTATGTAAACCTTCAAAAGATTTTTGATAAAATCCCTCACCAAAGACTCATGAGTAAGCTTAGCAGTCATGGGATAAGAAGACAGGTCTCTCTTATGGAACACAATTTGTTTAAAGATCAGGAAGCAGAGACAATGAATAAATGAACAGTTCCCACCCTGGAAATATGTAAGAAGTTGGGTCCTCCAAGAATTTGTATTGGGCCCTGTGCTCTTTAGCATGTTCATAAATTACCGTGAGCTGGGCGTGAGCAGCGGGGTAGCAAAGCTTGTTGATGACACCAAACTATTCAGGGTGATAACAAAACAAAACAAAAAACAAAACAAAAAAAGATTGCAAGGTTCTCCAGAAGGATCTCTCCAGCTGGATGTAAAGTATTGCACTTGGGCAAAAAAATGAGAGGCACAAATACAAGATGGGTGACACCTGGCTTGAGAGCAGTACATGTGAAAAGGATCTAGGAGTCTTGGTTGACCACAAACTTGACATGAGCCAACAGTGTGACGCGGCAGCTAAAAAGCCAATGCAATTCTGGGCCTGCATCAATAGGAGTATAGCATCTAGATCAAGGGAAGTAATAGTGCCACTGTATTCTGCTCTGGTCAGACCTCACCTGGAGTACTGTGTCCAGTTCTGGGCACCACAGTTCAAGAAGGACACTGACCAACTGGAACGTGTCCAGAGGAGGGCAACCAAAATGGTCAAAGGCCTGGAAATGATGCCTTATGAGGAACGGCTAAGGGAGCTGGGCATGTTTAGCCTGGAGAAGAGGAGGTTAAGGGGTGATATGATAGCCATGTTCAAATATATCAAAGGATGTCACATAGAGGAGGGAGAAAGGTTGTTTTCTGCTGCTCCAGAGAAGCGGACACGGAGCAATGGATCCAAACTACAAGAAAGAAGATTCCACCTAAACATTAGGAAGAACTTCCTGACAGTAAGAGCTGTTTGACAGTGGAATTTGCTGCCAAGGAGTGTGGTGGAGTCTCCTTCTTTGGAGGTCTTTAAGCAGAGGCTTGACAACCATATGTCAGGAGTGCTCTGATGGTGTTTCCTGCTTGGCAGGGGGTTGGACTCGATGGCCCTTGTGGTCTCTTCCAACTCTATGATTCTATGATTCTATGATTCTATGGATATTAAACGGGCATTAAAATGGCAACTATGATCCAATGTAAGTGTGTGTAAAGCAATGCACACTGGGGCAAAAAGTCCTGTTGATGGTTGCTAGACACTGGAGGCTGCATGCTTTTAAATGTAAGTTGTTGGGGATAGTTATGTAGTAAGAACAACCCAATAACCACTATCTTCCACCTGTTCTGCCACTGAGGACTTCTTGGATCATTCTTTGTCTAGCTCCTTCCCTTTGACCTTCCTTACCGCCTTGGGTGATCCTGCTGGGAGTATGAGGCTCACCAAGGTCATAGGAACATGCAAGCCCCACTCCCCACGACAAGATGATGGTCCAGCGAGTGAGACTGTAAGAATAGGATGCTGGACTTTGGTACAGCTCATCTCTTATGCTTGACTCTCTTTTTTCTGTTTGCCATTATGGAGGTTTAAAAGATCAATTTCAATTCACTCTTTGTTTAAATTATGAGCTGGGTTTTTAAAATAGTAATTGCTGTGCGTTTTATAGTGTAATGTGGTTATTATTAGTTTAATCACTTAAGCAGTCAATATATGTTAAACATTTTTAGATACTGGTTGCATGCTTTAAAGATATTAACTCTAAGCCACTTTAAGAAAACTTTTGTTTTGAAAGGTGGCATATAAATTCCTAATTTTAAAAAATGCAAATCAAGGAGTGAGGAACACTGTATCCCTAGGAGTGATCTTTGCCACAGATGTATTATATGGAACATTACTGCAGCTGAATGGCAAGAGGAAACAAAGTTGTAAATTAGAATAAAAAAAGGTAAAGGTACCCCTGCCCGTACGGGCCAGTCTTGCCAGACTCTAGGGTTGTGCGCCCATCTCACTCAAGAGGCCGGGAGCCAGCGCTGTCCGCAGACACTTCCGGGTCACGTGGCCAGCGTGACAAGCTGCATCTGGCGAGCCAGCGCAGCACATGTAACGCCGTTTACCTTCCCGCTGGTAAGCGGTCCCTATTTATCTACTTACACCCGGGGGTGCTTTCGAACTGCTAGGTTGGCAGGCTGTAAATTAGAATAGGAGAATGCTATTAAGAATGAGCTCGCAAATGGATATATAGAACTGTTCTGGGGTTAAAGAGCGCTCCTTATGTTTGACTGTTAAGAGTAAATTGTTATAAATTGTCAGCTCAGTGGTCCTCAAGTTCATGTAAAATATGGAAGTCATTTGGAAAGTGTAGTGACAATTACCAGGAATGTCTGAGGAAGTTTGTTCTTTTTGCATTGTTGTTTTTTTTGGGGGGGGGGAGGAAAACAAACCTAAGACTTTTAAACAAAAACAACACTTGAAATTAATTAGATACCATATGTTAATATCGCCTTTCACCTCAAATATGTTTGCAAAAGTTTTATTAAAAATATTTTATTAAAGAACAGCTGTTTCATGTGATAATGGTCACGAGGTTAGTTTAAATTAAATTCTGGGAGCAGAAGAAAGTTTCTGTGATTAGACTGTAACTTTGGGATTCAGTGATTTCTTATCAAGTGAATGAAATACATTTTTTGTGAAGGAGGGGGTGACAAGCGGTTAATATATTTGTGCAAAGATGGAAATGGTTTAGGATAGTGGTTTTCAACCTTTTTGCGTCCATGTCTCTCTTGACCAACCACATTCTTTCAGTGGCTCCCCTGTGGGACACGGAGAATCCCCACTTACACGAGGGCTCCATTCCAGGACATCACGTGTGTCACAGGGGTGCACATCAAGGGGCATTCCCTATTCCGCCCCTGCCCAATTCCATCCCCCCATTTTTGGCACGCATGTAAGTGGGAGCGTGTGCGCCGATTGTGCACAAGTGGGGATTCCCGTTTCACTTTTTACTAGTGCTTGCCAATCTAAATACGCCTTCAATGTTGCTGCATTTTAAATTTAAGCGTGGGACCTGGGTGCAAGACATTCTGGAAGCAGAAGGGGAAAAATAGCAGGCAAAGATTGGCCAAAACAGACATCAGTTGGCCACAATTACTGGCAAACATAGAATGACATCAGGGTTGACACCTGCCTTGATTTTACAATATTATGCCTTATTTTTGCTCAAAACTGTTTTATTTGCAAGATCGTTTTGTGGAACAGCATGCAAATAATGGCCGTAAATAAATGCTTTATTCGTGGGGGGGGGGGGAGATACTTTTTGTTATGGCCTGAGATGACCTTGGAGAGGACCAACTTTTGCAGCTTTTGCATTGCCATGAATATTACCCAGTATAGGTTCTGGAGTAAATTAAATGTCTTACAGAAATTTGTGGCTTTGCAATCAAGCAAAGAGCTCTGGTTGCCTTATTTTGAAGAGTTAGAAAAACTGAAGTAAAGAAATGATCAAACCAACCAGGGGGCTACGGCAACTTAAGGACTCCAGATCCTCCCCTCATCTATGAAGCTCACTGGGTGTGACCTTGGGGGCCAGTCACTGCCTCTCAGACTGACCTCCCTCGCAGGTTGTTCTGAGGATAAAATGGGGATGGGAGGGAAAGAAGTACATATGCCACCTTGAGCTCCCTGTAGAAAAGATAACACAACCGAGCAGAAAGTTCTCCTGCACAAGCCACTTTCAAGGCTCGTGTCTGCCACATTTCACAGGACAGGCAATTCCAACAGTTTGGCATTGCAACAGAGAAGGCCCTCCGACTGGCTGCTACGAGATGTATAAGATGGGCAGGTGAAAGCACGAGCAGCACGTGTAGATTTCAGCGAATGGACAGGTTGGTATGGAGAAGGCAATTGACAGAATCACGGAGTTGAAAGGGACCCCAGGAGTCATCTAGTCTAACCCCTGCAATGCAGGAATTCCTTAGGTCCCCAGTTGCTTAGGTCCCTGCATATGTTATAGTTGCAGCCTTTAATACCAGCTGAACAGAAGCATTTTTTTTCCAGTGGTAGCCAACCCAACCTAAGGCCATTGGCTGTCCCATTGGGCAAGATGAGACCTTTGCCACAGGTGGCAGATTGTATGTGCATGAAGGGTGAATCAGTGCTCCCTGACACATCTGGCATTACTCCAGCCACCCATGACCGTTTTTCTTGCTCAAAAGTCACCGGCTGCTACTACTGCCGCTGCCGTGCCCAGACCCTCTCCCAACCCAAGCCTGGCTTCTACGCAGTAGCAGCAGCATGTGCCTAGAACCCTAGGCCAGCCAACAACCAAAAAGCACCCCATGGTTGCCCATGCCTTGTTCCAAGGCAGCCCTTCCACTGAGGAAGACAATGTGGGTGAGGTGGCCCCAGAGAGTGCCTGCTCAAAGTTTACTACTGTCCAACACCCTGTTCTGTGGAAGGACCTTATGTTCTTCAGATGGCATGAGACCTCGTGGGATAAGATGGCCCAGGAAGGCCTACAAGCATCCATGACAGCCCACTGACTGATGACGTAGCGTTGTCAACAATTTAACTAGGAGGCTGTGCCTAGTGAGAGCAGGAGCAAAGAAGAATGGCCGACTGGGGCACTTTGCCTTAAATGGCACACCAAGCCTCATCAGATCTGCTGGTAAATGTTTTCTAATGTATGATGAAGCAGACACTTACCAAAAAATGAGTCCACAACTGCAGCATTTTGAATGTGAAATGCCCTGTTCCTGTCTATGTGTACACCACGCAATTAGTAGCTTTAAAAGATTTTTATTTGTCTAACATGCTTGACAGAAAATTACAACAACAATCCAGTTATGCCAAAATGAGTCAACACACCTGAAAATTTTCATGACCTCAAAAGCTTCTTAATGTCATTCATACATAAAAATGCACAATATTCCAAAGAAATATTCTCAGGGGAAAAAATATTCTTCAGAGAATATATCCTGACTTACATAGAAATGTTCTTGAGGCAAAAAACGGAAAGGCCTCTTATTTTAATAATATGCTCCACCTCCTTTTTAAGTGTTTCTGAAGTGCTATGAGTTATTGTAAACATTTTAGACTCATTTATCTGTTTCAGGAAGCTTGTTTATTTTATTTTCTGGGGTTGTCACTAGAAAACTTAAGTAAAGGTTTATTATAAAAATAGCCACATTAAAAGTCTGGTTGAGAATGTAGAATTCCTTCATTTGGAGGAAGGACCATGTGCTGAAAGGCTGGTGCAAACTGGCCACTTGTCATAGCGGCTTTGCTTTTTCTCGCAACGGTGGCCAGAGATACCTGCCATGTAGCCTGGTTTGCAGTAGCCTTTCTGTGCAAAGTTATATCTGCACATCCGATCTTGTGAGTAAATTTGATCCACAGTAATATATATTTTCAGAACACATAAGATTGCCATAAAATGACAAGTCTTCTTTTTGCGATCCCTGTTCCATGGATTCCAACCAATCGTCAAATTGAGTACTGAACAAGCAACAAGTCTAGTTATCATTATGTACCTCTCTCAGATTTGACCCTGAACTCCACATTCCTGAAGTTATGTGCCTATATATATATATAGTAGTTAAAATCCACATTTATGTTCCCTGTGATGTGCTCATGTGGATTGCTCCGCAGTTCTTAAACATGTTTGGATCAGCTGCATGCACGCACATTTGCCAGCTTGGGTGAGTGTGGAATTGACCTTTGAGAACTGGGCTGCAAGGGTAAAAGCTATGGCCATGGACACAGTAGTGGCTGAAAATGCAGCAAGTATTTCAAGTTGCATTTGCGCATCGTTGTACAGACAGTTGCAGACAGTAGAACTTACTTCTAAGGAAACATGATTAGGTTTGCCCTGTATGAGATTTAACAGCTGCAGAATTCATTAGGGTTTTTGGGGGGAGGGGGCTTTTTAATTCCTGAGTTTACATTTAATTTAAACTACTTCTCTTTCAATTTTTTTGTGCTGTATACTGCATTTCGGTAATCTCCACCATAATATCACTTTCCATATTTAATATCAGATGGAAGAAGATTTTTAAAATTCTCCTATACTCGGTTTTACAAGACTGGAAGATTATAGATTTGAAAAGTATGTGCCATAATAATGTGCTTCTTTTGACCTCTTAAATACATGGGGAGTCATTTTATATCTGTAATAATAGTCCCAAGAATCTAGCACAATTATATTTTCCCCTCACTGTGATTATCCTGTGAAACCAGGTTTAAATGAGCAAATGCTAGCATTTAACACACATGAAAACTGTAAACCTTCATAAAGAACCACTTGGCTGAAGAGTCATGTCATTTTAGTAAGTTCAATATAGCACATGGAATATACATAATGCATTGATTTCTCTTGATATAACATGGAATGCACACCCCTTTTCTGTATTAAAAAGTCTTTTTAAAATGATGAAATGTTAGATCTGTTGAAGTATTTCTAGAAGGCTGTGATACCAGATACCTCTGATGTCTGTCCATTCTTGCCCCTCCAGTTATTTCATAAAGAGAAAAGAAAAACACGTTCATAATTTAGCGTATGCTTAGTTTTTACATCAGCAGCTCTGTGCTGCTAGCCAGTGTTTTACGCAGGTTGCAGGCTTCATACTTCTGCGTGTGATAATCATGTGTTCCTTGGAGTAGGCAAATCGATAACTATAGGTGGATTGAGTGGCTGGTAATTCACTGTACACGCAGAAGCATTCACGTAGGTGGTAGTTCCGTCAGCCATAACTCCGTAACCTAGAATTTAAGAAGATAGTTGTTATTATTACTCAGTTGTACTTGTTAAGATATCTCATCAAACAAGTTTGCCAAGCATTGTAACAAAAACAGAATAAATGATATACAGAATAACTGTGACCCCCCCCCCCAAATCACAGTTAAGTCTGAAAAATCCAGCTTGGCATATGATTCAAATACAAAAAGACCAGCACAATAAAATGCAATACAAATCACAGGAGCTAAAACCACCAGCCAGACCACATATAATCTTCTCTCTTTTTTGGCTTCAAATTAACTTTCACTGGACGGCATTAGGGAATCCGGGAATTCGAAACGGTGGTTGTTTGGCAAAGGCAGTAACAGCAATTCTAGCCTGATATTCTTCAAGTATTTTGACTCTGTATTTCATCAGAAAAAGAGCTTCAGCAACCACATCTAGGGTTCTGCCGTGTCCTGGCATTCGAAAAGAGTCAAGACTGGGTAGTGGCAGAAAGTGCAGTGGTGTTTTACATGGTGACCTCATTGCATCACACCCCATGACAAGGGCTTTGTAGCGTCACTACGTGCTGAAAAGCCAAAAGCACCCTTTTCTACTGAATGATGTCACTCCATCTGTCTTCACCGGAATATAAGCAAACAGCATTCTAACTTCCATAACGTTCAAAAACATTTCAAGAAGAAGCAATATAAAATACTGGCCATTGTCACCCAGGGGGATGGTGTCCAGGGAAGTCATGTGGAGGTATGCTCAAATTCTGTTTCCTACGGTTTAAGTAGCTCTGTGTTGAAACCCAGCCCCAATACCTTTCTTCTGGAAGCCATCTTGCCAAGGCCTGGGAACTCAGACCCTGCTGTGGTCTTCAGGGTGTGAATGAGGCCATTCTCACTAAACTGCCACTTGGCATGCAGGGATGATGTGGAGGCCCTTGGCCCGGCTTGAAGGTCACAGCAGGGTCTGGACCTCCAGGTGGTGAACATTAGGACCTGAAGGTCACTTACGTGCTCAAACAACCAAATCCATTTTGTATTATAAACGGACATTTTTGGATTAAACTCAGAAATGAACAATAGTAACATGTGTCAGTTGCCAAACCCCTGGTTTTGGAAGAGGAAATAGTTCCTATTCCTCTTGCATGAGGAAACAATGGAGATGTTAGGCTACTACTGTGCTTGAAGGAGGAGTCCACATTCCTGTTTCTTCCTCATTACCTGCCCCCAGTGTGAACTAAATGGCATTAAGGACTCAAAACATTAGCTTTCACACATCACAAATGTTGGCTACAGCTTGTGGTTAGTGAGAAGAGATTTTAGCCAAAAGCCCAGGATCAGATGACGCAGTGAGCCAAATCTTAGCTGAACTCAGCACAGTGCAGGAGGAGGAAAAAAAGGAACAAAGCAATTCCTGTCTCTATTCTGTTTGTTTGCATGTCACTCTTGCAGGTGTTGCTGGACCGCCATCCATTCCAGAGCTTCCTCTTCCCACCCCAGGCAACTACTAAGCTTGCTTTTCACCAGCCCTTATGAAGACACCCTCCTTTTTTCTTTGTACTCTTTCATGTCCCTGCTTTTATCTTCAACCACATTTCCATGCCTCCTGCTCCCTCTTTGTTTCCACCCCCCTTTTGCTCCTATGGTCACCTCCACTCCTTTTCCTCCAGCCTTCTCCATATTCTTCTCAACTCCCCACTGCACACAGATCACCCCAATTTCCATGCTGCCTCTTTTCTACTTTATGCACTTACTTCACGATTATATGCATTACTGTATCTTTAAGATGAATGGACTCTTAAGAGCAAACCTGTTCAGTTCAGTTGATAGATATTGTTCATATATGGGTCTTGGCTTATAAATACATACAAGAGCATGAGAAAGTTGGCAATACTCCTGCACTTTTAGAGACCTTTAAAAAACAAAAGGCTGGAAATGCCATGAAAACATTGCAGGCTCCATCCTTCAGCTTTTAAGTAGCTGCGCTGCCTAGAAAGTTCAGTAGCTTTTCCTAAGCAGTTTTTAAAGGGGCGAGACTGAACAGCTGCTGGAGATAAGAATGGGGGAAAATGTTCGAAGAAAAGGGAGAGGGAGGGAGAGGGAGAATTTAGGATTTCACCAGCCCTCAATAAACTGAAACTGAGCCCTGGCTGAAGAATGAGCAGTTGGCAACAGCACTCGAATAATGGTGATTCTGTTTGAAGGGAGCAGCAGAAAATATAGTTTCAGGTGGGACATTTTTGATAGGAAAAAAGTTTTAGAGGGGAGAGAACAGTATGTTATTATTCCTCCCCAAGGTTCTATAAATGACAACTGCAGATGTAGCTTTGGTTGGTTGGGGGAAGATTTCTACTGCTCACAGCATGCAGACACTATAAAGGGGAGCTTGTTGTTCTAAGGCTGTCTATAGAATTTACTTGGGAGTTCTTCCCTGAGGAACCTGAACGTCCCAGGATAACATCTAGCTTGCCGTTTCCTACTTGTTTTCTTTAAGTTCCTGTCATCTGCAATAAATAATGTTCTGTATCCTTTATCATGCTGTTGCCAAAGCAAACACTACATACTCACCAGTGCATTTTAGTGGACTATTTAGTTCTGGGTAGTATTTGTGCTACAAGTTGTGACAGCATTGATTTGACTGGTTTTGCTGTCACAAATGACTAATTATGCACATTGCAAGAGAGTCTATCTCAAGTATCCATGTGTGGAAATAACTGCTCACCCATCTGGCGGTGGGCGCCATTTGCAGACCGGTGCGCAGCACCCATGATCTCCCTGGAGACAAGCTAGTCTGCCGCACCTGGCTTGCATTCCCGGCGCCACGGGCCATTGGGGTTCCCGCCTAACCCCTATTAAAACTGGCCAATCTGCGGTGTTGCTGGGGCCAGGGCCAGGTGAGTGAACCATGAGTGAGAAGGCTTCACTCCAGTCCGCTCTGGGGTTTTATAAGCAGGGCAGAGCCAGCGCTGGATGCGCAGTCGGCTCCAGAGCTGACATGCATGTGCCTGGGGGGAGTTGTGAAATGTTTATTTGTATGATCTAGTTGAGATTCCTGTATTGCAGGGGCTTGGACTTCCAACTCTACAATTCTCTGATTCTATATTCTATCACCATGCTATATTTCATATTGGTTTTTAAATTTCCTTGAGTTTCAAAAGGGTTGTGCTGTTAAATAAATTGACTTCAGAATCAGTGTAACTGATTATTTATAATGTGATGTTCACAGAAATAAAGGCACTGTCGTTTTAGAAAAAGATAGATAAATATGTCAGATCAATTCTGGAAAAGGAAACTACTGACATTGTTTAGTAACTAGCAGACACTTGCCCCTCAGGATCCACGTACTATGGCTTTTCTTTTAGAAATTTTAGGGAACTAAAGTGGACATAATTCAGGTGAAATCAGTATTAACACAGTATGTTACAACCTAGGCCTTCAACAATAGTAACAGAAGTTGGACCTCTTCAATTTGTATTTGGTGGGGTCCGGCATTTAATGAAAGTTTGACCTGGAATTCAATCTATACACAAAAAGAGGCTTTCTGACCTTCATGGATGTGTCCAAAAACATGAAGACGTGGTTGTATTCGTCTCTGGACTGTATTCAGCAGCTCAACACATCCCACTCTTTGCATCTTCTTAGGAACCCAATCTAAGAAACCTTTAGAATAAAAGATACCGTACAAAAGAAGAACAAAGAAAACAGATATTATCTGAGAATTTTTATAACCTGAATTTTAAAAATGCACAGCACTGAACCTCTCTCCCTAGTTCTTGTGACTGTGTCTCTATGAAGAATTATCTTTGAAAGTGCATTTGAATAAAATGGAATAATCAAACTATGCAAACAAAAGGGATTAAGACTAATCTTACTGCTAACAAAGGGGTGTGTGTGTGTGTGTGTGTGTGTGTGTGTATGTATATGGTAGATATGGTTTTAAATAAATGCTAATAAATATTTGTTAACAAATGTACAGTTTAATATTAAACTAAATGTATAGCTTAATAAGCTTAAGACATATCTGCTGTTTTCCTGCATCCAGCTATTCTTCTGCTTTGAGTCCTAGTGAAATAAATTGAATACCAGCCATTATGTTCAAACCATGGTGCCTAATATCAAGTTCTCATGGAGTACAGGCAAACACCTAAAATGAATGGAAATGGACATTTGATGACTTAATGTATTGTGGCCCCCATGCGAGAAGAAAAGTGTACCTAATCTCATGCATAGTATACCGGAGTTTCTAAAAACATTCCTGACAAGAATAAAATTATCTCAAGGTGGGGAATATTGTAGTTACTCTTTTTTAATCTTCGGAATAGAAGTGCTTAATCCGCAGTATAGCACGCCATTTTTAAAGTCTCATTGTTAGTGCTGTGGTTCAGTAGGGTGAGAGATGTTAGCAGTTGCCAGCTGAGGTCAGAAAATGACCTCTCATTTCCATTCTCGTTCCTATTGCCTCTTTGTGATGCTTACTATGTTAAAACAATGGCTAGAGACTGAAGAGCTACAGTGACGGAGCCTTAAGGTAAGGAAATGAAAACATGCGACATCATAACTGTAACATTTACCAGTTGCTGGAAACCGCAGGAGGGGAGAGGGCTGTTTTGCTCAGATTCTGCTTGTGGACTTCCCACATGCATCTGGTTGGCCACTGTGAGAACAGGATGATGGACCAGGTGAGCCTTTAGCTTGAGACCCAGCAGCCTCTCCGTAATGCTCTTGTGCTTTTTCTGACAGTTTCAGCCATATGGAAGGTTTCTAACCAGAATTCTGTGCACATTACCTACAGGATGCCAAATGCTTCTGTTCAGTTCTGTGTTCCGCTGGGACTAGCAAAGTTTTTCAAAGTTATCTATATGGTGCTCAACATGCAAAATAAATATAATAATAATAATGGCATATAATCTAAAACAGGGGTGGCCAACTCTCAAGAGACTGTGATCTACTTTCAGAAGAAGGGGTTCGGCTCAAAATTGTTGAGCTTTTTTTAGGGAGGAGGGAGGAAAGCCCTGGTTTTTTAGGGGTTAACCTTTTTTTAGGGGAGGAGTTCTGTTCTGGGGATAGTTAAAGGATAGGGACAAAGGGATAAAGTCACTCAGAAGAATATCGCTATGGATCAAAACAGCAGCACAGAGAAAGCTCCGTCTTCCCTTCCAGAGATCATACAACAGTGGAGGGTGGGGCGAGGGGGCGTGGCAGGAGTCAGTTTAGCGACGCTAAGGAAAGGGAACCGGAGATCAACTGCGATCTACCAAAACCTCGCGGGGATCTGCCAGTAGATCGAAAACCTGTTGGACATCCCTGATCTAAACCATCCCTGCCTCAAATCAAAGGCAAAGTTTGCGCAAAGTGTTGCAATACGTATTAGATTCTTCATGCTTCCACTTGTTGCAGGAGGGTACACAGGGTCTTGTGCAAGTGGAAAAAACTGTTCTATTTCCTTTTGCTTTTCTCATGAAATCCTCTCGCACAAGGTACAAAATGGCCATTCTAGGAACATAAGAAGAGCTGTGCTGAATCAAGTCTTACAGGCCGATCTATTCCAGTATCCTGCTCTCACAGTGGCCAACCAGATGTCTGTGAGGAGCTAGCATGCAGGATCCTACCCAATTGTGATTTCCAGTTACTGGTATTCAGAGCCACACTGCCTCCGACGGTAGAGGCAGAACATCACCAGTGTAACTCTTCCGCCAAGGACAAGGAAGGGAAAGTACATAATGGGAAAAGTATCTCCCATATAGAATGTCCTGAGCAGCAAACAGAGACTGAAACTCAAACCGCTGCTGGTCCAGTGGCTGGAAATAGTTAATTATAAATAAGCCTGTCTGTAAAGACAAAAAGTATTTCCACTTCAAAAACTTTGCAAACTAAAATCCATGAAATTAACTTCTCCATTAAATTAAGCATTATTTATGTTGAACATGTTTCTGTTTGCATGCAATATCAGCCTTCTGAAGCTTTCCCATATGTTTGCAGCTTATTATGTACACCTGACTACACAAACTAAGAATAATTGATTACACCTAGCTAACAATTAGAGATTGCTTTAGATTCCCCCTTCCTCCCCTATGCTTGGTTACTTGAAAACAGGGATCTGTAACTGGCAGGAAAGTATAAATCTTTGTCACCAACAATCAAACAGACTGTTTGATAAAGACATAAAGGAGAAATGAAAGCTTGTTTAAAAACAAAAGACAAAAGGAGTAAAAGTCCCCCCGGAGAAAAGAAAGAATTTTGAATTAGGCCAGGGATGGATGTAGAGATTTATTCATATTGTATTCTAACTTGAACCAAGGGCTCAGGGTGGCCTGCTATGCACTTTAAACAACACACTTTAAACAATGCACTTTTACTCAAAGTATAAATCCACTGGGTCCCAACAAGTTCAAAATATTCCTGCCTAACCACCTTATTACCAGCATAACCCCAGGCATGTAAAACTAGTTATAAATGGATATACTTGTAGGAAGTGGTGGCAGAGAAAAAGCAAAGTGCATTTCTGTGGGCAAGTGAGCACTGTGGTTGAGGATTCTGGTATTTGAGGATTCTGATATGAACTGATCTGATCCATACCTCCTCCCAAACTAGATGGGAACTTAGTTATTTCACTGGCATTTGCACTTCCTGAATATTCTGGCAGCTTTTGTTTTTGCTCATTTTTTAAAAAACACGGATTTTGAGAGGAAGACACGTAGAAAGCCATTATTAAAAACATTTTTTTTCCAATATTCACAGATTAAAGTGTAAGATAGATGGATGACATGGGCCAGAAATATGTTGATCTGAGCATTCTTAAGCAGTACCAAACCATCTTTAAACTCACAAGCGAAACATGCATACACGATAATTCCAAAACTGGGTAAATCACTAAAGCTACAAAATTCATGATGCTGGGATAGCTCAGTTGGTAGAACATGAAAGGGGGTTGGACCACATGTGCTCCATGGTCCCTTCCAACTCTATTATTCAATAATTCTATGAAAATGAAATTTCTTGATTAGGATCTGCAAATCCCTCATTCCTTCTCATCAATGAACATGCCTTTAAGCACCCCTGATGCACCTTTAAGCAACCAATTTCATCAAAGGATCATGGGTATTCTGGGGGGGGGGGAGAGTTATGATAAAGTTTTAAACAAGTCAAAAATCCTCACGAAGACTTTTTGCCTCCATTCCTTCCACCTAAAAAGCTACCTAGCTTGTTGGAATGAGTAACTGCCCCCCCCCCCAGTTACTGGGGGCATTAAAAGGGTATTTCTGATGTCAATTTTCTAGGTTTATTCCAGACATCTATTGCTGATTCCCTAACTTCATTTGGCAACATAACTCCTGAACTTTTCCCCATATCTATTCGTAATGAGGACACGATATCACTATTTGCTGTCACATTCAGTGAGACCTTCGGCATTCAATGAGTTTTAAAACCTGAATACTTCCTTACACCACTCAGGTTCGCTACAGCCATAGACTCTTGCCCATTCCTTTCATACCTCCCAAGCTCTCATCTCATTCTCCAACTTTCACAATGAATAACAAAGACTACAAGGATTTTGGGTGGGCAATTTAGCTTTAATCTCTGGGGCTTTGTTAACTACAACTAAGCTTGTATCTTCACAGATACTTCTAACATTATTTCTGGAAAGTTTTTAGCTGTAAAAGAACTTTGGAGTTAACCTCTTTGGCTTAGGCTCAAAGCTGTCTGTGATTTAATGTAAGGAGCAGAATTCAAGTCAGACAGCCTGTTGCAACGTCATCCCATGGGCCCTATAGAGAAGAAATAAGCTGTCACTGGAATTATGAAACAGACAGCCGCTACATCTTATTGGAGTCTATAATAAATCTAATGTCACAGAGCAATAACCACCTCCAATGCACTTCCTAGGGTGCCCTGCTGAAAGTCCCCAAAACTTTCAACACTGTTGTAATATATTTTTTTTGCCGGGGGGGGGGATAGTAAGACAGCGAATTTTCCTCTTTTTACAAAGCATATGGCACCATAACTGTCAGCTCATTAAAGTACGTCAACAAGAAAAAGAGATATTAATGGAACAACTGTTGCCATCAATAATATTTTGCAGCTAGGATAAATTATAAGCAACCTGTATCTATTAGGAAATTTAAGAAGTCTCAACAAAGATTCAGAATGGAATAATAACCCATTTCAAGAGGTCTTTCCTAACACTTAGGAGTTAGAGCATTATCTAGCTTTATATTCCATTGTTCAAAATTAGTGAGTTTAAGCATGTAGGCGAATATCTCCTATTGACGTAAGTAGGAGTTCAGTTGGTAGAGCATGAGATTTTTAATCTCAGGGTTGTGGGTTTGACCCCCACGTTGGGCTAAAGATTCCTGCATTGCATAGGGTTGGTCTTGATGACCCTTTTGGTCCCTTCCAATTCTACAGTTCCATAATATTATGATTATGATTATTATATCCCAATCATCTAACTGGGTTGCCCCAGCGACTCTGGGCAGATTCCAACAAATATAAAAACATAATAAAACACCAAACATTAAAAACTTCCCTATACAGGGCTGCCTTCAAAGGTCTTCTAAAAGTTGTGTGGTTACTGACATCTGATGGGATTCTAAAGTGCTTAACTCTGGAAGTTCATATATTATCTTGCTCACATGCATTCATTCACTAATTCTTGGAATCTTGGAAGATAGGCTGGTATTATTGTCATCACATTGCAAATGGAGGGCTGAGTGACAGTGTCATGTCTAAGATCATACAGTGAGTTTATGGCTGAGATGCACTTGGAACTGGGAAAGTCTAGATCATAGCTCATGTTACATGAACCACTATATTACACTAGCTTTTAAATATGCAGGCAAGCTGAAGTATGGGAGGTGATTCAGTTTTTCAAGATAAACCAGACTCCACAGCTCATTACAAAAAGCTGGCATTCAGTGAATGAACATCTTGTTGTGAAAAAAAAATTGCATCCCATTCTCTGAGGAACATGAGCTGATTTTGCTGCACATGACCTTTGGAAACCTCCCAATTCTACAATTCTATGATTCAAAGCATGTTCATCAAACATGTGAAGACTTCCAGGCATAGGAATTCAAATGTTCCAATGAACATACACATTGGGGATGCAAGGTTAGCATATATTTTATGTATGTGCTTTTGGAATGCCCGTTTGCTTCCACTGAGCTCTGCATGCCTCTTTGCAGTATAGCACATATTGCAGACACCGCAAAGAAGCAAAATCTTGTAGCAGTACACTAGAACTTCACACTGCATAAGCAATGTGTCACTATAGTTTTCCTATTTCATTGTTATAATCTTGGTTATTTCAATCATTAAATCACTAAAGCGTCCTGTAATTATTTATTAATTATTTTATTTAATTAAATTTGTATACCAGCCTATACTCATAGATCTGAGGGTGCTTCACAACATAAAATCCTAATACAGTGGTACCTTGGTTTACAACCATAATCCGTTCTGCAGGTCCATTTGTAAACCAAAACAGGTTGTAACCCAAGGTGCGCTTTTGCCAATGGGGCCTCAAAAAAAAATTTGTTCATAATCCCCCCCCCCCAAAAAAGAGGGTTGTAATCCAAAAAAAGGTTGCAAACTGGGACACGCACTTCCGGGTTTGACGTGTTTGTAATCCAAAACGTATGCAAATCAAGACGTATGCAAATCAAGGTACCACTGTATAAAAAACAGAAATGAGGACTGCAAGCATGAGTGGAATACTGTTTCACTCTAAAGCATTGCAGAATCACACCCCTTTAAACCCACACATTCTAAGTGGCAGCAGAATCTACAAACTATTATTTGCAATGACACAACACAGATAAATAATGATCCGAAACATTTTTCAGTGTTTCCTTACCAAGAGGTGGTCCATGTGTTATAAGAATATCTATTCCATCTGGAATTAGGTTCCATTTCTCTAAAAGTGCTTGGCCTCGCGGAAGATTAAAGCCCCAGCCATAAAACCAAGGTTGCCTGCCGAAAAAGGGAGAGATTTTCTTCAGTGCTATATACACGTTGGATTAGTCAGTTAAGACCAACCACGAAACATTCCGTTCAACTTTGTTCATAATGGATACAGGTACATATTCTGGGTTGCACGGCTTGGGGAATATTCCTCCAAGCCGTGTAAAACAAATGGAAAGGTTTGCATTGTGGTGTAGTGTGGTGTGGTGTGTGTGTAGCACACAATTAAGGAAAGAATTACTAACAGCACCTATTTTGGTTTGTGTACTTTATATATGTGGACAGGTCAATTTCTGTTCTCTCAGTTTCTCATTTGTCTAATCTTAAATTCAGTTCTACACATTTCCATATCAGTTTGTGAATACTGTGTTGAAGTAAGAGTAATGAAAATGAAGCTAAGAAGCTCAAATCATATACCGGTATATGACTGACACCCTTCTTTGGAAATTAAACCAATGTCTAGACTTTAACATTCAAAAACTTTACTTGCAGAAACTTATAGTTGTAGATGAATTAGAACATAATATTTAAACGCACATGCTTCTCTAAGCATGGCCTTACGGTCTCTTCTTCTAACTTCCAAACAACTGTATTTTCCTCTCTTTCCAGAGCTCAGCACTCAATCTTCTGTTTCTCAACTAGGGCATGCCTTGCAGATCCTATGAGAGATTTCCACTTTTACCTTCTTCTGTAGCTTTGCTCCGTTTCTTTCAAGCAGAGAAGATGAACTCCAACACTCTATTCAACTTAGCAGTGTTCACGGCTAAATTCTAAAATACAGTAATCGTGCTTTACATAATCTCCTTCACTAGATACCTCCCATGTGACCAACTTTAGCCAAACACATGAGAACAATTCAATTACCAACCAAATTTAAACACAGAGTAATCCATACAAACATTTACAATTTCAGTGTATTAAAATATTATAGTGTTTTGCATTTTAGTGCAAATTTATCCTAATATATAGGGATAGATGCAATTTTGCCTGTTTCACATATTATTGCAAAGCAATGCTACCTAATACATTTTTGTATGTTATTTTCACTGATATGTGCATTTTATGCACTCTTTAATTTAGCATATATGCACTTTGTATTTGGTTGGAGAACACCACTGCAAAATTAAGAGACGCAGAAATTTTAAAGGATGGCTGTGTTTTAGTTGCGTATCATTTCAGAAAGTGCATAGATTCACCTTTACATGCAAACTGAATGAATTTTCTCCTCCCATTCCTGCTTCAGAATAACCCATCAAACCCAATGTAGTTTACTGAAAAATAAACTGGGAATTCTAATGTGAGGTAGCCATGGTGAAACTTGAAGTAGCGCTGTCTATGCTGGATTAGTTTTTCTGTTTCTGGCTCCACCCACTGCCAGTTTGCAGACCTTGATGGATTGGGGCAATGAAGCCCTGGAATATAACAAGGCATTGGGAGGGACTCAAGTTTTCGTATCCTACGGCATAGCACTATTACGTGACAAACTGACCTTTCCCGACTTGCCTTTTCTATAGTTATTCAAAAAACATACACCCAGCCCTGCTACAGCAACTCCTTAAGTAATACACAGCTGAACAGTTGCCACCCACCCTTATGAACATTAACCTGGAGATTAGGGGTGTGCAACTTGTTGTAATATCAGCCTGTTAATGAGTCAAACAACAACACAGGATAATTTGGTCCCTGCACAGGGTCAGATTAAATCTGTGCTAAATCAAAACATATTTTACTGCTATTATGTAAAACTTATTTGGCAATATAGAAAAGTAAGATCCTTGCCAATTATTAAAGCTGTACTGGAAACAATAATGTGTATTAAATTATACACAACTCTGTCCACAGCTTAAATGTTTTTAATAAATTAATTGGCCATGCCTGCTTAGCCTGCTAAATTATCTTATTAAAACAAATACATCAGTTGATATGGTATTTAATTAAGATAGCAGTTTCACCTGTAGATGGCATGTCCAACCATTTTTAATGGTCCGAAAGGCAATTGCCTAAATCGAGATGTATATTAACAGCAATGTCAGCAGCACTGAAGTTCCTATTGAAGGGAGGTGGGCAGTTCTGAGAAGAATCTGATTAAAAAAACAAAAAACTAAATCTCTGGTTTCCAAAATTTGAAATTAACAACTAATCTTTCCAGTTACTCAATTACTAGTATATAACGTTTTATTCTGGCATTTGATATGCTAATTATTACTATTCCAATCCTTCATATTCAAATATTTGACTCTGAAGTTACTATTTTAAACTGTGTTCATTATGTAAGGAAGTTAAAGGGATTGCAATCTCAGTAATTAAAATTTATCACTACAGTGGCAAACAATTGCTTCCTGGCAATACTACAAGTAATGGAGTGTGGGGTTGATACTCTTGAATATGTTTGTGGGTTTTCATCTTTCTGCTGAATGGGGCTTTTGCTATATCCCTTACAGAAGGAACAACAAACAACAGACTGTTATAATTTAATAAGTTTTATGATAATTGCAATGTTAGTGCTTAGCAATATAGTCACATCAACTACACTTATTTTACAGATGTTACTTTGGAGAAGGCTTTACACTACTTCCTTGCTACATCAACAAAAGACAGAGAATTCTTTCAAGAAATGCTCTGAACTATTCTTTGTATACTGCATGGCAAAGACAAAAGGAAGTGCCCCTGAAGCTGCAATTTATCTTCTTCCACTACTGATGAATTGCTAGTGCTTTCAGAAATTAACGTGTTGTCTGCAATCTTTCTGAAGCTTTTTTCATATTTCCTTTGGTGTGTGTGTGTGTGTGTGTGTATTTTGGAATGTTTGTAGAATACTGCATTCCAGGAGCTATTATAAATGCAAACTAGCCTGAATATAGAATAAATTTTGAGAGAATAAGTTCCAAGTTACTGGTAGGAAACAAATGGCAGAAATGCTCCGGAATGCTTCTCCCCTCTTTTGAGAACACATTTTCTCTCTCTGATCATGTCACCCCCTTTATAGTCTTTGTAGTATTGCTTTTTCACTTGGAAGTCCTTAATGTTAAAGTTCGATATTCCATGACTATTAGAACTACAAGGTTTTACTGAACACAGATGCGAAAACCATCCCTTCCTACTCCTGTTTCCAGTCCTCAAAAGTTCTAACTAAATTCTACTGCAGATGGGGAAGAGACAGGCATATGCAATACATATAGGGTTAATATTAGTGCATGATCCTATTTTACAGACAGAAAGATAATCTAACAGGCTTCCTCTTTTATAGCTATAGAAAATATGAGCTATAGAAAAGCTCATAAATTAGTATGTTAAGACAGGAAATATGCTCACCAATATTTACTTATTTACATTTTCACTTCTAGACCACCATCCCTCCTGCAAAAATTTCAATAAATCATGCAAAATACAGCCAATTACAAACACACATAGCTGCATACCAGCATCAATCTGTAACAATGAAATGAACTCATAAGCAAATGGAAAACTAGGTTTGAGGCTCAAAATCACAGCTGCATCAGGAGGGCTTTCCACAAATGAGGTGCTGCCACAGGTAAGACTCTGTATCTTGTATTACCACTTAGCAGGCTGTCAATGGATCAAAATTTGCAGGGCCTCTCATGCACATCTCAGAGCATGGGTTGGCAGATACTGGAGTGGCACTCCCTAAAATATATGGGCCCCATGATATTTAGGGCTTTATATACCAGTACTAACACCCTGAATTGGCCCTAGCAGTCAGTGTAGTGGTTTAAGAATCTTTATTAGATGATCCCTTTCACTACATAGCATAACAGCCAGACCATCTCCATGACTAGCCCCATATAGGGCACACTGCAATACTCCAGTGTGACATTGCTGGAGTGTGGAGCACTGAAGTCAGGCTATCCTTGTCCAGGAATGACCATGGCTGGTGGAGTTGGGCACAGGCATTCCTCACCAATGGGCCTTCAGGGACAGCAGCGGGTCAATGAGCACCCCTAAGCTACACATCTGCTTCATTAGGCGAAATATCTCCAATTCCCAGACATTATGAGTTACCTGTATTATCCGGATTCAGTCTCAGCTTAATGGCCCTCATCTAGCCAATGCCTGTCTCCAGAAACTAGTCCAGCACTTTGCACAGCCTCTCCCAATTCAAATGGAATGGAGAGAAAGAGCTGGGTGTCATCCACATACTAGTGACATCCTGTGCCAAATCCCTGAATGACTCTTTCCAGCAGCTTTCATAGATGTCAAATAGCATGGGGAACAAGGTGGATCCTCGTGGGATTCCACAGCACAAATGCCATGGGGTCAAGCCAAAGTTCCCCAATGTCACTTTCTAGGAGTGGACCTGCAGCGAGGACCAGTGGTCCAACTCCAAACCTGCACTGCTCCAAAGCAAATGGTATCAAAAGCTGCTGAGATGTCTAGGACAAACAACAGAACAGCGCTTCCCCCCTCCCACGCCACCCATCTCTCTCTCCCAATAAAGGTTATTAATCAAGAGCAACCAAGACTGTTTCAGTAGAGAATTCAAGACTGAAGTCAGACTGAAACTGTTTTATACAATCATTTTCATCCAGGTATGTCTGAAGCTAACTAGATACCAACCCTTCAATCACCTTACCCAGGAAAGGAATATATGCAACAGGGCAGTACAACTAAGGGTCCAGGGAGGACTTCTTAAAAAGGGGCCACCCCACCACTGCTTTGAAGGCTATGACTCCCTCCTGCACTGAGGCATTGGCACTCCAAGGATCCACCCAGTCAATCCATACTGGGGATGTGTGAATATAGCAACATAAAATGCAATATACTACCTTTACATTCATGAGTGTAGTACATTACATTCTTTTCAATGAAACTATGTCTTTGTGAAAGACAATTCAAAAGTTGTCAGCTCTATAGAGAACTTGGACAGAGGTTGTTTCTCCTTACGCATGAATACTATCCTGTCATCCTCTCAATTCCAGATTTTCAATTATCACCTTTCCCCTTAATTTTCTCCTTCTATAGTGGCAGCAACAATACACAATCATACAGCCCAGAACTTTTTAAAAAAGGAATATATTAGATAGTGGCTGCTTTTCTTTTTGGTTGCACACAAAACATTTCAGATAGACACGATGATGGCTGGTTCTCACAGTAAGTCAGCAGTTGCCTTGCACTACACAGACTGTAGAAGTCTACTTGTGTGAGCAGAATGGTATGAGATTCCTGAATTGATGTGAGTTCCTTACTCCTCTTCCATGGGAAACCCCCCAAACAGGTTTCCATCAGAGGTGGATTTTGGCCAGAGCTACTGGTTCTGCTGCACTGGGAACCGACACTACAGGGTGCTGCAGGGATTTGCAACTATAACATACTGAATTAAGTAGAAAAGAAGATGAGAGGTGGCACCAAATTTTGGCCTTGCACAGGGCACCGTTGAAATTTTAAAGTCCACCACTGTTTCCAGGTAGACTAAGGCATGATGAAAGGGGTGTGCTGATTTTTTCAACTTTCAAATTACAAAAAATGATGGGTGCTAAAAATTTGAAACAAGACTTGAAAATTCAAAATATATTTTGGTTAAATTAATCTAATTTAGTTTTGCTTTGTAAACTTGCAAATGCAGTGATATTAATATTAGTGATATTAATATTAATTATTATTATTATTATTTAGCATTACCTGACATTTTCAGAAGGTAAAATTAAAATCCTTTGGTTTTCCAAAAGCACTTTATGTGTTTCTTCATCCAACATAGACTTACCAAGCTAAATGTCTAATCACAAACATAATAGCAAATTTGAATGCCTCACATCCAAAACCATATTTTAAAGTCCTCTCATGGAAGAAATTTGCAAAAATTTAGTTTCACTATTTAAAATGGCATACAGGACTTCAAAGCTCTAACATTACAGTAGTCCAACCTTATATTTAAAGCAACAAGGGACTGAATGCAAACGAGTGAACCGGCTGGCAGAGGAGAGATGTGTGACAGACACCCTCACTTAAGATGGGTGCTGGGTAATGTGACTAATATTCTGGATGTGTTAATAGATAATAATAAAAATCCTGTATTACACAGCAGAGGTCTACAACTGACAATTTCAGATTTCACAGCAGCAAGGTGTTGCACTTCAGCGAAGGCTGCCCACTCAGAGCGTCAAAGCATGAGGAGGAATGTCTGGAACAAAACTATCTGTTTATTTAATTACACTGTAATTAATACTTAAAGACACGAACCCTTTTAGAGAAACTTTTAAATGGCACTGCTTAGCTATCCGTACAACATCCACTCAACCCATTCTAGGATTCCAAATCCTTAGGGAACCAAAACTGTGTTTCCCTCCCTCACCCCACTCAGATAGTTCAAAACCCCAACCGCCTACACAGACACAGTTAGTCCCTCTCCTACTGAGAGTCTAATCGCTATCTGATTCCAGGTCTATCCCACTGGTTGCCAGGTCACCAGGAAGTGGACAAGTGGTGTCCACTCACTTTGAACTTGAGACAGGACTATGGCCCATTGCCTCTTGACCTCCCTCAGAAGGCACAATCGTTTACATGCCCCAGGTGACTGGCAGGTCAAACAGGCCAGTGGGTACAAAAGGAAACAGGCAGCCTCAACACCTGGCCTATTAAAAGCTATTAGAAGGCGGGCTCTATAGCTCGAAAGTCAGGGGGCTTCTCAAGTGGTTTTTTGACCTATTGGAGAATGGCAAGGGTGGGGTGAGAAGCAGTCCAAGGTCGCTCAATCTCAAGCCCTTCCATTGGAGAAATTGAGAATACGTCATGGGGGCAGATCATGCTAGTTTCAACCACATTTAGGGGACTAGCCTAGTCCCACTAGTTCACTGACCGCATGCCACTGAGGTGGACCCAGGGTCTGTCCATCACAAGATGTTCTATTCCATTCCTGCTCTACGCCCAGAATAGAAACACTATAGGCTGCTACAGGATGGGCACAGTTCTCCATCCCTCCACTTGCAGCCAGGAGCAGAATGGTCATTTTTATTTTTGCAAGCAAATAACATTTGTGGATTGTTTTGCCAGGCTACAGCAGTCAGTGACCAAAGTATGGCTGGAATTATGACCATTCCTTAGCCTGAAATTGGCTTCCCTCAAAATTGTCTAAACAAAGCTTCACTTTCATTACATATTTCAACAAATCTGAAAATATGAGCTTTTAATGAAAATATAATCCTGCTGTTCTAATGTTTTCCCTGCCATTAGTTATGGGAACTGTGTCAATGAATGTCTTTGCAATGTACAAACAGATTCCCAGTGGATTTCCAGTGGACAGTGCTCATCCAAGCCCCACTGAATTTCCTGGGTGCATCTTCTGATGCAAATGGTGATATGGATTTGCTTGCAGGATCATCAGATGCTATATTTGACTAGGTGCCCCCAATTACAACTAGATATCTATAGATATCATTGGAGTTTTTGGTGAATTTTTAAAGCTGATACTGGATAAACATATGGAATAAGGAATATTCCAAAGTTATCATATAGAAAAGGTCAAATATTGGAGAAATCTGTAGTTACAGTAAAGTATAACAAGGAAATAAATATAACCTCTATTTTTTCACACCACTGAAACTGAGGGTTTCATTTGTCCTAAGCAATACATGCAAAATCCCACTGCTATCATTTCCTCCATTAGTCCTAATATTCATAACCCACATTTTTCTTCTTAGAAAATGGTGTTTTCCTTTATGAATAGAAATGATCAGCTTATTATGGGACAAGAAATGTCCATCCTTCTCTTCCCTTGGAACTGTAGTATATATTAAGATCCGCCGAGTTATGGAAGCTGAAGCTGTTCTTTTATGCAAAGGTAGCGCTAAGGCGTGTGGTTTGCCATTATTCTGTCTCTCTTATGATAATCTCAAACCAGACCAAAATCTGGCTAGAAAGATGAAACTCTAGAAAAGATCTGGTGCACGAGACTCGTGTTCTTTCTTGCCTTTGGAAAGATATCTCTCCACACACTTCATAGGCCTAACAGACACACATTCAAAACCATTCTAGGAGTATAGAATTGAGGTACCTTTTCGTGAACCATTATAAAAAATCTTTAAAATGTAAAGTGTAAAGAAGGAAACTATTGTTCTTTGTCTACTGTAACAAAAAAGGAGATTGTTACAAGAAAAGAGATTGCAACCAAACATCAGGAAGAACTTTCTGACAGTAAGAGCTGTCTGACAGTGGGACAGTCTCCCTCGGGAGTAGGTGGACTCTCCTTCCTTGGTGCTTTTAAAACAGAGGTTGGGTGGTCATCTGTCATGGGTGCTTTAGTTGAGATTCCTGCATTACAGGGGGTTGGACTAGATGACCCTTGGGTTTCCCCTCCAACTCTACAAATCTATGATTCTATGAATAATGCTATGACACCCCCTCCTCCATTTAAAGATGATTTAAACTGCAATCCTATAAAGTGTCTACTCACAAGGTCCATGCTTTAAAACACCATGTCCAAGCACACTTTCGTTCTGCCCCAGAGCTTTCCCCGTGTAAACCTGCTACTTAATGCTGAAGTGCAACAAACAGCAATTTGGTTTTTCACAGATTGCTGTTTGCTCCGATTCAGCTTTAAAGTGCAGCCCATGCCTGGAAAGCATGCAAAAAAAATAAGTGTGGATAAGCCCCAAGTCCTGCTGACATGAATGGGGCTTACTCCCATGTTTGTGGGTTTAGGACTGCTAGCTGGGGCTGATGGAAGTTGGAGTCCAGTGACATCTGAAGATCCACAAGATCCTCACCCCTCATTTAGATTTCCATGGAAAGCCTGGAGGCATTAAACAGACAAAGGATGTTGTTGTGATGCCAGAAGAGATTAATGGATTAGCGATCAGAGACATTAAGAGACAACTGGAGATGGTACAGAGAAAGGGCCTAGTGCACAAACTGAGGTGACCAGAGAAGACAAAGCTTCTAAGCTCTTGGCAATTGATTTGGAAAAAGAACGGAAGATGTGGAAGAAAAAGGATTTCCCCCAATTTCCTCAAACCAGGATGAAGCATGATGGGACTGGAATATATAGAACTGAGTATGGTTTAATGAAGACACAGCAAGCAAATAAGTACGGACTATTACACTATTAAGATTTGTTAGAACCCTTGGGGAGAAATTCATCACATTGGATTGGAGAGGGATTATTTTGGGCACTTAACGACAACAATAACTGAAGTACTTATGTACTTTTTGTATGGAAAAAGGCGAGCATGAAGATGCCTGGGCAAGAAGATTGAGAAAACAACCCCTAGCAGATTGAGAAAAAACTGGACATTAATACAAGCTAGATGTCATCCTGGAGTGCATACTTTGAATAATTGTCATACACATAATTGACAGACAGAGAATCAGAGGACCCTCTTTTCCTCCCCCGCCTTTCTCTTCTTATCTTGCTTTTCTATTATCTTTAATTCTTGTTTTCTCTCTGTTAATTCTATCTATACTTATGCTTTGTTTTTTGACGTTTCCTACCTTGGATTAATGAAGATACATACAGGAAGGTGATGAATGGAAGATGAAGGGCCCTGTGTGAGGGGCAGGGAGAGAGGATCTCCCAGGGTGGGAGGCTGGGGGAAGAGGGGGAAGCTGCTCAGTGAGAGCTGGGAGGGTTCACTCTTCTACAGTATGTGTGGAATAAGGGTTAAGACAGGAGTCAGCAACCTAAGGCCCATGAGCTGGAAGCAGCCCACGGAGGTCGTGTGACCAGCCCCTGAGCCGCCCCCAAACAGAATTCCTGCTTGCGTGCTGCGCTAAACCGGCATAGCATGGGGACTCGCTCCTGCGGCACCGAAAATCACATCTACGCAGATGCCGGAAATCACAGGTGTGCACGCGCAGACGCCGAAAATTGCAGGTGCACGTGCGATCTGACCCACACAGGGATCTCCGCGGGACCGATCTGGCCCAGGCAAGATAAACCTTGCTGACCGCTGGGGCTTAAGATATCATTGTGAGGGAGGGCTTTGTGTTTGTTTTCTCTTATTTCTCTTCTCTTTCTTCTTCTTCTTCTTTATTTCCCTCCTTTGCTTATTATTGCTTGTTTCCTGTTTATCTTCTTAAGACCAATTTGGCTGTTATTGTATTTATGTGGAAACTCTTAATGAAACTTGATTTTAAAAAGATCTTCACACTTAATTTAGAGCATTTGATTAAATATCTGGAACTAAGGTTCTGAGTACCTTTCTAGGATCTTCTCTGTGATTTTTTTTTTTTTAAATATGGCTCATACAACTTTTTATTTTACTTTATACTTTTATTTTACTTTCACTTGATTAAATAAAAGAAGTAAAATTTAAGCAGATGTCTGGAAAACATTCCCTCATATATTTCTGGAACGTTAATCTACTTAATGTATCTAAATGGCCATGCATTTCACTAAAGAAACAAAAGTATTCATGACAAAGCACTGTATTCTGAAGGATTTCCTTTCCAAAAGAGAACAAATTTCTTTCAGTATTCTGTATCCCATATAAACTGAATGTTGTTAATGCTGTGACAGAAAAGGTTTTGCTACACACAAGGCTCCAGGGAGAAGAACTGAATGGCAAAAAAAATTGTTTACAGCCTAATTAACCTTATGTTAAAATGTATGAACAACTTTTACAGGTCAAATACAAAAGGACTGAATTTCTGCTAGCTCTTGGATGCTGCTTTATGTACCGAATGTCTGCCTCTCTGCTGTAAAGTAACCATTGGAATAATTTTCCTACAGAATGATAGTTGCTATGACAACCATAGCAAATTTTCCTTTTCTGAAACAGATGTCTCATTTAGTTGAAAATTAGAATGTGAAAAACCCATGGGAAAAATTAATTCAAACTTTAACAGAACACTGACTACAATATAATCTCTTATGGGTTAACCCCTTAACATCTCTTTGTACTCCTATGTAACCTTCAAATAAATTCTAATTAAACCAATTTAACCTCTTATAAATGACCTCTTTAGCTATAATTAGCACTTTAGTTTTCTCTGAAGTATTCATTTCTGCTACCATAATAACAGAAATAAGTGAGACTAAAAAAAAGTGGACAAGCGAATTTCAGACTAATTATTTATCAGTTTCTGGTTTTATTCAACTTCTGCTTTAAAAAGGGCCAGTGTCATTCAAATGGTGCTATTTAAATGGGACGCAGCACATTTGTACATGTAATTTACTCTACATGGCTATAGTGCTTTCTGTGGATTTGATCTTTAATTGACATGGAAATTGAGGGTTTACGCCCCTCAAATGACTTTAACAGTTGCAGAAATGAAGAGGGCATGAACACAGGAAAAAAAGGTCCAGATGCAATCTGGTTGTGGTCTCATTTCTCAGAAAAGTACAATCAAGAATTTCACTATTTTGTTTCCATAAATTGGCCCAAGAACATGAAGTATTATTTTTTCTAGTTTAAATGCAGATAACTATAAGTGTAATAAAGAATCTATACCTGCCTTCTTTTATGTAAGTTAAACAAGCCACTGACAGTAATGTAAGAATGCTCCCTTACATAAATTGGTGAGCAAAATATAAACAACAAAACACCCTTAGAGCTCAGTCTGGCGCATATACATGCAGAAGCAACCCCTACTAAGGATAATCTCAGAAAAGTATGCATAAGATTGCAACCTTAGCTTTCTACTTCCTACATTACTCGTAGAATGTAGATATTTTGTAATCTGGACAAATACACCATCTATTCTATATAAAAGGAAGACATTGCTGTAATTGTCCCAAAATTGGGAAAAATGCCTTATAAAGACTGTTCTGGTGAATCCCTTCTTTCAGTTTATCAAACCATGTATTCTTGTAGTGGTCTATAGCTCATCAATAAATTGCATGTTAAACTAAGGCTTTCACATTAAACTAAGACACATTTATTGTTGTCATCATCCTATTATGTGGATGAAATAAAATTGTTTCAGTCCTGCACACTCCATCATATTATTTCCAGTTACCCAGGTTCTAAATATATTGGTCATGATTCTCTGCATCTCACTGAAAGAAACTGGAGTTATAAACCAGCCTTTTGCACAGCTCCTATTCATCTAATGGGGCTTGCATGGAAGAACTTCCTTAACAATCTACTCAACCAAGTTTAATAACATCAGAGTAATATTTGGTTACAGATAGCTGCGGGATACTGTTATTTGTCCTGAAAGTGTCAACAAGCAATAATTCAAAAGGAAGCCCTAAAATGATTCAGAAACTTAGTGAACAAACAATATTAATCAGGGATGCCAAGACATTTTGGCACCTCCCGCTGCCCCGCCATAGCCAGGGAGGAAGGGCTGAGTGAAAATCTACATCAGGAACAAGGGAATTTGGGGGGAGGAGAGGGGGGGGACATCAGGATCTGCTGCCCCTGTGGATCCTGCTGTCTGAGGCGGTCACCTCTCGTTGTTTGATGGGTGGGCCAGTCCTGATAATAATACATTTTCACAAACATGCCTTATAGCATGTCAGACCCTTGGATTCATCTAGCTCAGAACCTCCCACACTGATTGGAAGCAACCCTTCAGGGATTAGGCAAGAGTGTCTCCCAGCCCTACCTCTCCCCACTGGGGATTAAGCTTCAGTTCTTCATTATGCAAAGAGTGCTCTACTACTGAGCACCAGGGAAAGTTGAAACCTTACACACTACTTGGTGACATGTTGGTTGGCCTAATAAAAGTTATTTCCCTAAACTCCACAAAGGAGAAAGAGAAAGCAGAAGAAGGAGAAAGCCCCCCTCCCATCTCCAGGTGTTGATGCCTCCAGGTCAAGTGCAGAGTGACTGCAGAAAAAGTTAACCGTGTTGGCCAGCAGTCCTAGCTCCTTTTCTCACGAGAAGATATTCTGCTGGGGTCTCTGGGATGTCTAGCAAGTGACTTAAAGGTAAAGGTAAAGGACCCCTGACAGTTAAGTCCAGCCGCAGACGACTCTGCGGTTGCGGAGCTCATCTCCCTTTACAGGCTGAGGGAGCCGGCATTTGTCCGCAGAGTTTTTCCGGGTCATGTGGCCAGCATGACTAAGCCGCTTCTGGCGCAATAGAACACCAAAACCAGAGCAGCGCACGGAAACACTGTTTACCTTCCCCGGCGGAACGGTACCTATTTATCTACTTGCACTTTTGGGCATGCTTTCAATCTGTTAGGTTGGCAAGAGCTGGGTCAGAGAAACGTGAGCTCACCCCATCGCAGGGAATTGAACCGCTGACCTTCTGATCGTTAAGCCCAAGAGGCTCAGTGGTTTAGACCACAGCGCCACCCACGTCCCTACTCACCCGCATCCCTACAACAAGTGACTTACTCTGTCCCAAATTAAGCAAATGGGTCCCTGGGCCAGGAAAGTATGAAGTGGCAGCAGAGGCTGACAGGGTCAATGTGAACAGGCACCTACTCTCTTCAATTTCATTTGTAAGTATTCTAATAGCAGTACTCACTGTTTTACTCAAATATTCACAACATTCTTAACCATCTTTGTTTGCCCCAAAGGGTATGGCAGAACTCCATGTCACATTTAAATTTCAATGAGGCACAGGTGAAGTTTCCAAGGGATTCTGTCTTATATTAACATTTTTTAAATGAAAGGGAAAATGAGACACAGAAATCAAAATTTGCTGGTACTTTTTTCTTTACTTTTTTGCATTTCTGGTATTAACTATTGTTTTTTTCTCCTCTTTCAAATTACACATGGAATCATTCACCTTTTGTTTAACAAGAGAATTCATGCATCTCTGACTGGAAAGAAGAAAGACTCGAGCTGTGACTAATGTGAAATGATTGTTTCTAAAAATTAATTTGTTATAAAACAATGGAAAATAAAACTAAGTAAGTTTTATCTCCATAACTAAGACAGACAAGATAGGAACACATAGAAAATAGTGTTAACAGAATGCTGAATATATACAATTGTGTTACCTCCCCACCCACCCCAATTCTGCCAAAATTTAGTCTGATATGCAGGGAACAGCTGGCTGGGCCAGGGAGGTTATCAATGCCTCTTTACGAAAGGGGGTGGTCCCTGCCTGTTTGAAGGACGCAGTGGTAAAACCACTCCTTAAGAAACCTCCCCTGGATTTGGGAAACCTAACTAACCTCTGGCCAGCTGCTAATCTCCCTTTCCTGGATGAGGTTCTGGAGCCAGTGGTCCCAGACCAGATCCAAGTACTTTTGGAATAAACTGATTTTCTGAATCCATTTCAATCGGGGTTTAGGCCTGGTTTTGGCACAGAAGCTGCTTTGGTCGCTCTGTATGATGACGTCTGTCGAGAGACAGAAAAGGAAACATGTCCCTGTTAATTCTTCGTGACCTCTCAGCAGCTTTCAATACCATCAGCCACGATATTCTTCTAAACTGGATGAGAGCTAACAAACTGAAACTCAATCCAGATAAGACTAAGGCACTGTTAGTGGGTGGTTCCCTAGACCAGATGGGTGGGAGATCACTTGCTCTTGATGGGGTTACACTTCCTCTGAAGACCTCTGGGTATAGGGCGGTATATAAATTCAAAAGATGATGATGATGATGGAAGGAAACATTCAAGTTCTGAGGTAGGTGGGAATAAAAAGTCATATATTTAACATTAAGATACACACAGCAAAAACCAACAACTCAATGATAGTTCAGCTTCAGCCAAAAGTAAGGGACACCATGCGGCTATTACCTTTTGGTTCTCCAATTTGAGGTGAACTCTCTATTTTTCACCTCTTCAGATTTACACCCATAATTAAAATTGGTGTAAAAGCAATAAAAAGCAGTATTTTATTAGGGTCTTACCTAAGCACCTTATAGCCTGGCCTAGTAAATTACCTCGAATTATGTATGATCAGGTCTCAGGACATTCTTCAAGCACATTAAGGAATAAGAGCATGCAATTGTAAGACGGTGTTGAGTCTCTGCTTCACCAAGTTTGACGTACTAACAGTAAGGCCTTCTGTCTTTGCCTCATCAGTGCTTGCTACATCTTAGGCTCCAGAAAACGGAACCCAGTACTTTGAATAAGAGAGCACACCCTCCTGCTTTAGATTTGTATACAGATTGAGAAAAGCTAAGAAGCTAAGGAACTTCTGATTCTTTGTCCACTACAGTCGTACCTTGGTTCTCAAATGCATTGATACTCATACGTTTTGGCTCCCAAACGCCAAAAACGCAGAAGTAAGTGTTCCAGTTTTCCAATGTTTTTCGGAAGCTCCTGCAGCCAATCGGAAGCCGTGCCTTGGTTTTTGAACATTTCGAAAGTCGAACGGATTTCCGGAACGAATTATGTTTGACAACCAAGGTATATATAAAATTCTCCCCGCTCTCTCACACACATTCTCTCTCTCTCCCTCTCTTTTATTCTCTCTTTCTCTTTTCCCCCCTTCCTTTTTCTTTTCCCTCTTCTCTTTCTCTTTTTAGTCTCTGAATTCATGTTTTAGTTTGGACAAAAAAAGAGATCTTTGTCAATAATCTTTGTATTGTTCTTTATAAACCCTAATAAAATTCATTTTTAAAAAATAATATACAGATCACCTGGCCTGACTAAACTGACTAGGTCTGCTGCTAAACTTCTACTGTAGCATCCAGTGGCACTTGGATTATTGTTATCCGTCTTCAGAGGGCTGCATAACTAGAATCAGCAGAAATTCTATGCTCAGAAATTATTCAATGGGACCCACCAACTGGCCAAACAAATAGGTAATGAGCCAACCATAAGTATAGGGAAGGTCTACACCAGCTGATTTTCCTAGGGTAAGGACATCTTAGAAAGAGCTGTTACAATTTGTTCCAGAGTACAGATGGTCTCTACCACCAGGTTTTGTTGTAGGAAACCAGTGTCTGTCCAGACATGAGACATAAGAAATACTGCCTCCTTCAGCTTGCTACTGGAATAGTAGTCTGGGATGCCTCTGTATCGAATTCCAATTCCAATCGAATTGGAAGCAAGTTCCACATTACAGTGGTGCCCCGCAAGATGAATGCCTCGCAAGACGGAAAACCCGCTAGACGAAAGGGTTTTCCGTTTTTCAATGCGCTTCGCAGGACGAATTTCCCTATGGGCTTGCTTCGCAAGACGAAAATGTCTTGCGAGTCTTGAGATTTTTTTTCGCTCCCCCCCTTTTTCTAAGCCGCTAAGCCTTTAATAGCCTTTTAGCAGCTAAGCCTTTAATAGCCGCTAAACCGCTAATAGCGCTAATCTGCTAAACCGCTTATAGGGTTGCTTCGCAAGACGAAAAAACCGCTAGACGAAGATACTCGCGGAACGGATTAATTTCGTCTTGCGAGGCACCACTGTACTCTGAATAATGAAGGAGCATACAGCTGAATTCAGAAGGAACAACAGGCAGATTAAGTTGCTAAATATGGTATCCACATTAAAGGCTGTCCCAACATATGTGGGATATTGTGCATCTATATCACGTCCAGCTGCCCTTGTACATGTGCATTTCATTTACTCTAAAGAAACCACCCTGCTGTGTAGTCTGGCATCATTCATCCACTCAGTTTTTATGGAGAATCCAGATGACGCTGTTAACAACCTGTTCCAGTTTTCTCCATTTAGCCTTCACCTCTTTGTCAAATCTTCTTGTGTACTTCTAAATATATAGTTTAAATACAACTGCAACACCAGACTATTAGGGGAAACAGGTAAAGAGCTATTAAAGCTTTAGACGCAGTCATATAAGACGGATGGGAAACTTTTTGCCCTGAGAGTCATGTACAGCAAGTGGATGAGTATTTGGGAGCCACAAACCAATGGGCATGGCTAGAGGCAGCGGTGTCTGGTGCCTGGGCTATGTGGGAAGCTTGCATGTGGGGAGGGGAGGTTTAACCCTATTTGGCAGTGGTGGCAGCAAAGTTGCTAGAGGTACCAAAATATGTGGTGCCAGATATTTGATGTATACCTGAAGGAGCATCTTCACCCCCATCGTCCAGTCTGGACACTGAGGTCCACCTCCAAGGGCCTTCTGGCAGTTCCCTCACTACGAGAAGTGAGGTTACAGGGAACCAGGCAGAGGGCCTTCTTGGTGTTGGTACCCACCTTGTGGAACGGTATTCCATCAGATGTCAAGGAGATAAGTAACTATACACCCTTTAGAAGATACCTGAAGGCAGGGAAGTTTTTAATGTTTTATTTATGTTTTTGTATATGCTGGAAGCCACCCAGGGTGGCTGGGGCAACCAAGTCAGATGGGCAGGTACAAATAATAACATTGCTATTATGATGATGATGATGATTCAGGGTTCTGTCTTGGGCCCGGTCTTATTCAACATCTTTATCAACGACTTGGATGATGGACTCAAGGGCATCCTGATCAAATTTGCAGATGACACCAAACTGGGAGGGGTGGCTAACACCCCAGAGGACAGGATCACACTTCAAAACGACCTTGACAGATTAGAGAACTGGGCCAAAACAAACAAGATGAATTTTAACAGGGAGAAATGTAAAGTATTGCACTTGGGCAAAAAAATGAGAGGCACAAATACAAGATGGGTGACACCTGGCTTGAGAGCAGTACATGTGAAAAGGATCTAGGAGTCTTGGCTGACCACAAACTTGACATGAGCCAACAGTGTGACGCGACAGCTAAAAAAGCCAATGCAATTCTGGGCCTCATCAATAGGAGTATAGCATCTAGATCAAGGGAAGTAATAGTGCCACTGTATTCTGCTCTGGTCAGACCTCACCTGGAGTACTGTGTCCAGTTCTGGGCACCACAGTTCAAGAAGGACACTGACAAACTGGAATGTGTCCAGAGGAGGGCAACCAAAATGGTCAAAGGCCTGGAAACGATGCCTTATGAGGAACGGCTAGGGAGCTGGGCATGTTTAGCCTGGAGAAGAGGAGGTTAAGGGGTGATATGATAGCCATGTTCAAATATATCAAAGGATGTCACATAGAGGAGGGAGAAAGGTTGTTTTCTGCTGCTCCAGAGAAGCGGACACGGAGCAATGGATCCAAACTACAAGAAAGAAGATTCCACCTAAACATTAGGAAGAACTTCCTGACAGTAAGAGCTGTTCGACAGTGGAATTTGCTGCCAAGGAGTGTGGTGGAGTCTCCTTCTTTGGAGGTCTTTAAGCAGAGGCTTGACAACCATATGTCAGGAGTGCTCTGATGGTGTTTCCTGCTTGGCAGGGGGTTGGACTCGATGGCCCTTGTGGTCTCTTCCAACTTTATGATTCGATTCTATGATGATGATGATGATGATGATGATGAATGGGTCACAGAGGAGCCCCACGAGGGGTACATGCACGTTGTGGGCTGACCATGTGGCCCACAATGTCTACCCCCCATTTAAATACAACCATTTTTAAAAGCAGGAAGATTATAAACTCCTCTTTGAGCGACAGCAAAGCACTCATTTGTCATAGGAGCTCAGAGGGGGAGGAAATGGAAGAGGAAGGTAGTTGGAGGAGGGGAAACTACCATTATGAGCCTGGAAACAAAGGAAGATTTCACCTTGCAATAAAACTCTCAATGCCTGAGGAATGAAGTTATCACCCCTCTTTTATTGTCCATGCCAGGTCGCCCAACCACTGCCACAGTGTCCTTTCTCTTGGCAGATCAAACTAAGCAGGTGTCAGCAAAAGTTGCAAGGTTTTTAGCTGGGGCAATTAGAATAAGATCCACTATTTGACTATTGATTCAAAACCCTAAAGTGTATTTTATATAATTGACTTCTTATTTCTATTCTTTGTATACCGTATTGTTGTTTTATTGCTATGGCCAATGGCTGACACAAATAAAGATTCATTCATTCTTACAGCAAAAACAGCATGAGCAGAAGCAAGCACCATTTTCCCTCAGCTGCCGCAAGCTAGCCAGCTCCGAATAGTAGATGGGTGAAGCCTTGGCTGGAACACAGGAGGCTGAGACCCCTATTGCTTGGACTTGCAAGCTACTTTTTTTTCTTTTAAAAATGGGTTTGCTAATGTGCAAATAAATACATTTTTAATATGGATGAAATTGCAGTGCTCTACCTATTTATAATGTTGGTTAGTAGATAGGGTATAAATACTCCTAAATAAATAAATATTTCCCAGAAAAAGGGACCATTTTATCCTGGTTCTGGAGGTGGGGGTGGGGATCCCATCTCTGCAGCTCTGTTTATTCATGAGTGTATGTACCAACACACACTCATGGCATCTCTCCATGAGTCACTGCTTTTTTTAGGTATACCCATGAAGAACAAAGGTGGGACTCCTCTAATGATGGCTTATTCACACTGTCTTATACTTTTGTGGTGTAAAAGAGTGAAGTGTGCCTTCAGCTGTAATTCAGAAAAGAACTGTGTCTGAACTACCAGGTTTAGGAAACACAGTCCAGTCTGAAACAAACAAAGCCAAGAACAAGCTATGTGTGAGACTCTTTGTAGAATGGGAATTTCCCTGTGTGAACAGGAATCCTGAAGATTAACCTCTGTGGCTTACATAATTTGATAAATTTCCACGAACTCCTGCTGGTGGGGGATAAATTTGAGAAGGGCAAAAGACTAAAGAAAGTAGGATATATGTGTAATAAACATATTTTAAAAATTTACAAGGAATGCCTAAATAAGATCCACTTTTCAATTTAATTTCTCACATAAGGCTTTCATTTTTTCCCCTTCCAAAATACCAAAAGTAATTAGACCATATGGACTAGCTGCTTGCCAACTTTTTTTTCTAATTCAAAGCAGGCTTCAGTTAAATAAGCAGAAAATAATAAACTGAAACGTGTGTGTGTGTGTGTGTGCGTGCACATGCACGTGCATGCATATTATATGTCTAATATGTACACAAAAATTATTAAAAGCTGAAGCTATCTCAGTAAAATAAAGAGGACAAAAAGCACCTCTTCTGACTTTCTGCCTTCTGTTTATCTGGTTAACGACAAATTAAGTGCACTAAAACAATGGCACAAACATGATATTTCAGAAAAAACTCTGCCATTCACCTTCTCATTTGTACACAATTTGTATATATGGGTAATATAGTACTGAGTTGCTGGTTATTTCTACAGAGACAACCAAAATCTGGCCGTTTGGATTTTTTAAGTAAATGGGCAGTCTGCCTCGCCCCATTGGACCAGAACTGTGGCCAGAAGAGAAGGGAGAATTCTACTCAGATTAAAAATTATTGGCTGGAGGGAAGCATTGTTGGAGTATCAAAGGCAGCTTTCTATCCTATACACATTTACCTGGGAGTAAGTCTCATTCTATACACATATTGGGATTTGAATCTGAGTAAACATGTGCAGAATTATTCTGCACATCTGGAGCTAACCCATTAGTTTAAATGGCTCCAACCCAGCTGCATATGCCTATATACCACAGAAATGAATGGAACTTAAATATATCTAATTGTACAGTGACTTTTGCCTTTATGGCAAGTAAATGGGGTTTATCCATGGATGCACAATGGCAAGATTGCCCCTTAAGAATGGACACCCTATTAAATTAAGAACAATTAGTAGCAGAAGTTTTTATTTTATAGCATAAACAAAAAAACCCACCTAAAACGTAAAAAAAACCCCAGATGTTCCTCATAAAATTAAACTTTTAAGGAAACGAGGAAAAAGAAAAAGAAAAAGAAATGCTTTCGGGGATTGGTTTTTTAAAATTCCTGTGCTTTATGAACTGCTTGAAAATGAAGCAATTCCCCATAGTGAAATTACAGGTCTCTTATTTTGTAGGCCTTAAATTAAAAGACAGCTGAATGGAGTACACTTCTTAACTTACTCTGAAAATTCAATTATTTTCTCTTAAGTACCTGAAAACTGAACTACGTGTTATAATACATGCATGCAAGGATTAACTCCCTTCAAAAATAAGCAAAGATTTTTGACTATGATTACGGTATAGCAAATAAAGATTTAAAAACATTGTGCTGAAGTAAGAAAATTCATACCACAATCATACAAGTAAGAGTCTGGTATACTTTTGAAATTATCCTGCATATATGACCATTATAATAAGCAAGGAAACAAACAATTAAATTTAACAGGATGCTCATTCCTGGTTGTGACTGAGGAGGAGCTTTTCATCCCATTTTTTGTACCTGCTGAGGAGACACATGCTATATCACATACTATAATCTGTCACTGTTTGTATTCCACTTCACGGTTGTTTTTTACACAAAGCCCCATACATCATTAAAATGGTGCAAGTTATTCATGCAAGTTTGCATGCACTGACCTACTTCCTTGTCACTGCCCCAGCCTCCTTGAGTATTATTGTAGTCGCATTTTTGCATTGAATTTGTTCCATTTGTGCCAACAACAACAAAATGTACCTGTTCAGCCATACAGTGATCATTCTGTCTGCTAGTACAAGCTAAAATGCTGGATACTTTCCAGAAACATATTTGGGTACTTCACATTCCTAGAAAACTAGATCCTAGAAACTTTAATCCCAGGCAAGCAAATACAACATATGGAAACCCTGAGAATGTGCAGAAAACATACATTGATTATTTCTGGGACAAAGGGCACACATATGCATGTCAGGAGCTCAGCCTACAATAGAGTAGGACCCTGGCAGAGACACATGCCCGACTGGCATGTTCTCTCCCTCCTGGTCGATTATTCAGGAGCTTCAAAAGCTTTCTTCTGCCGGAACATCACAGCGATCGATGCCAACAGACACCGGCACACTTCGGGATCCGCAGAGTTTGCGCAGTTGCGTAGCATATCTCAGCAACTCAGCATTTTGGCTAATCTACTTTATTTACATATAAACACACACGGAGCACTGGAACATGGCACCCTCTCTCTCTAGCATTAGACAGCAAAGAGAAAAAACAAAGGACAATAGTCCCACTTCATGGAACACAGTAACACAAACATCCTGTCTCCGTCACTTCGCACTTTGTGGAGTCAAAATATACACTGTCATGTGATAGACAAAAATCCCATAACTGCAATCATGCAGCAGGAATTCCAACAATGCATGTACATCATCTGATGACTGAAGCCTCAAATGATGACTACGGTGAGTGAATATATCACCACTGTATTCCATGGACTGAGCTTTCATATCACATTCACAGTGCTTTTCATTGGAATCGCCTCTAACATTCAGCTACTAGGCACAGTGTGTATAGTATGTGTCCCTTAAAGGAGAAGTGAAAAGCATAAAGGTCCACAACAGACACACCTCAAGACATCAGTTATTTTTCTTTCCACTTCCAAAATAGCTAAAAATTAAATAAATTATTGTAAGGCCCATGCAGTTGAAAAAAGTTATATGAAGTCCATACTTTTGCATTATATTGTTTAAAAGAGTGTGAAATGATAGCATTCACATTGAATGAAGTTTTAGCTGTATGCTGCCTGAGTATAACACAATTACACAAACTGTGCATGGCACAGAACTGTTAGGTTGCTTCCACACTAGTCCCTTTCTCTGGAATTGGAATTGGAATTCATTCACTTATTAATTTATGGAGAATCTATATGACATTGTTGCAAAACCGCTGCATGCTTGTTTTGTCTGAGATAGTCACCCATGTTTCCCCCCCAGACCTAGCCTGGCCTATACACATCAGTGGGTAGACTAGTGCTGGGTAAATATTTGCAGTATACAGCTAGGCAGTGAAAAGCCTTCAGTAATCTATAGCCATTATTAAGGATGTGGTGTTCACAAAGTAGCAAATGCTGTGAGAACAGGGATGGTGCAAGCACGTATCTGTTTTCATCTGCGATTTGCTGGGAGTATGTTTGAGTCAGAGTTGAGAATGATACCTGAAAGGGTAATGAAGAGTTTTGAAAAGAAATGGTGGCTTCTAGAATGGAGAGCCCGAGTAAGTACAACATTGGGCATAAAATGTCAATTCAATGCTCTAATAAAAACGGTGTGTGTTGAATGCTAAAATTATTATTTTTTTAACTTGATGATCAATTCTGTATTTTTATGAAAAGATTAAGCATCTGTCACGTTTAACTTTAATTTACTGAACATCTGAAATAAAGTATCTTCTCTATGCTCCAAAGAATACTAAACCTCATCAAATTTAAGACATCAACCTCCCATCATATAGCAATATAGTGGTACCTCGGTTTTCGAACACCTCCGTAGTCAAACATTTCGGATCTCGAACGCCAAAAACCCAGAAGAAAATGTCTTGTTTTTTTAATATGCCTCGGAAGTCAAACAGGAAACACAGCTTCTGCTTTGAGTTTTACGTATTAAGGCTTCCGTTTTGAGGCTTCAGCTTTCAGTTTTCAAACGTTTCGGAACTTTAGCGGACTTTTTAGGCATGTAAGTTTAAAAGCTATATTCAGATTAATTCAACATTAATTTGAAGACAGAAATGCAATCCTGAATTTCTCAACATAGGAGTGGACACTAATATTTAAATAAGTTACATTTAATTAAATAAGTATTTTATTTCAATTGATATGCACTTTGACAATAGTTAAAATCTGCACAGTGTCTGAGAAAAGACAATCACTAGCAAAACTGGTATTGGATCTTTAGTACGAAATAAACCTATCAGTCTTGATGTTGCATAGTATTTTACTTATGCATTGTATTTTACTTATGGAAAAATGTTTAATGAACAATGAAAGAAGCTCTGAGAAATATCATCAGTAGAAGAGGAATGAATGAAATAACTGGAATATGAGGTGACACTGTGGACTGGTAGATGCTGTAAGTAATATAGAGACTGCAGTGGTCAGATTATCCTAACACAATCCTAACAGATTATCCTAACACAAGGTTCAAACATTGTGTTTATGATCATGTGAATCATTCCAGCCAATCTGGAGTTCTAAATTCCATGAGCAATCCTGGTTTGCAACCTAGTGATCAGTTATTGGATGTCAATTTCAGTGATCACAGGAACACTTTTTCAAATTCTGAGGTTGTGCTGCTGGCCGATAAATGTGATTAGCAAGCTCGCTAATTATACTGTATATGTGAAAGAGCACAGTAACAGCTGGGAAAACATAGGCAAAAGACCAGATGCCTTATCCAGATGTGCTCTTGTGCAACTGTTGGGATGATGTTTGTGCAACCCAATTAGAAAAGGAGTAATCACGTCTATCAACTGGGAGGAGGAGTAAAGATCTGAATCCAGTTTTCTTTGACAGCTTATTTGAACCTCACTTGTGCAATGAAATAATTGCACACTTTTCCTCATCAAATAACCTGTTCAGTCAGCAAATTTAGAAGAAACTCTACATCAATCTTATCAAGGAACAGAGTGTTCAATTGTTTTCTCACCTCTTAAAATATTTTATTCGACGAAAGCTCATTTCCTTCTGAGAAGAATGGATAGCACATAAGAGAAATGCAGGGTATATCTTTGCATCAACCCACCACATTATAATTCTGATCTTTTGAGGCTTTATGAGGATGACTAACTTCCAGAATCACTTTTGGAAAGCAACAATGAAACCATAGTTATATGGTGGAAGACTACAATCCTATATATGAAAACCTACAAGGGAACAATTTACTACTCCTTAACACATTGCCTAATGACTCATCCAAATCAGCCTCTGGAAAGAGGCAGCAATCTCCTTCATACAGTAAGAAGAGGCAGGTGTTTGAAAACCTCTTCCTAGCACTTGCCCTTTGCCTGGTAGTCCAGATGAGGATAAATCAAGAGGGGTGAGGAGCTTCCACAAAACAATGACCTGAGTCTCGCATCTTACCCCATTCTTATTCCAAAGATTAAGTATTACTGATTAAGCAATATCTATTTGTTTGGGCAATGACAGCAATACACTGAACAGAACCTGTCAGGAGGAGGGAAGTCCAGTTCATTTAGCCATTTGGGCACAGCAGCTGCCACTAGAAAAAGCAAGGTTCTGCTTCAGCAGGATCTCTCTGCAATTTGTGGAAGTGTTTGCTATTGTATAACATCATCTACTGTTTCCGCAGTGCAGAATATATTATTTAAGAACACCACTACTTTTCCTTCCTTGTACCTGCAATGCAGGTCTTTTTTGCATCTACATCCATGATTCGATGTTTCGACTGTGAAGATACCAAGAAAGAGTCCAGAAATATTGTCAAAGGATAATTACTATGTTTACATTAGATTTACAAATTAGTAATAGGTGCCAAAAGTGGTATGCCACAGAAAAAAATACTACTGGGAATGGTAGTTATTTACTTCGTAATTTTAGAAGCCAATCTTAGTTTTTGTATTGGCTGTATGTATAACAGACACAAAATTAACTTGGAAGATCAAACTGAAAACAGCAGGTGGATAGGCAGAAAATACAAAAACCATTTGGATATTGGAGATAAATGGGTGCATTTCAAGTGAAATGTGGTTTTAAATTTAGATAAATGCACAACAATCAGCAGGTGGGGAGGATTAACACCAATACAAGCATCAAGCTGGTGAATGCCAATTTTCATTTAGAAAAAAATTGCAATATATTTCACAGTTTACTCACACTGTGAAAATTCACACTGAGGTATGTGCATTAGGTCTGACAACTTGTTTCCTATATACCAGACTTATGTGACTTGTAAAGAACAACAATATAGAACCGTAAACCAGACACCTCAGTATTTTCTTTAAAAGGTTAAAATTGTAACAAAGTTTACTGTGGGTTTATTGAACTTCCAATATAAGTATACACCTTATGCACACCCAGTATTCCCTGTATGCTGTACTAAAACTACCAAAATGGCAAAGAAAAAACTGCATTCTGCAATCTGTATAAATAAAACAAATTTTCCTGATTTCACTAGGGATGAGATAAGAAGTTTGGCAAGGCACCAAAGTACTACCTGAAGACCAATGGAAAATGTTATGTAACCACAATACTGGCTTCTAATATTTTACCAGATGTTTTGCAAATGCTTTCATTTCTATTTTAGCAGCCATATATTGCAGTACTAGAAATCTTATTGTTTTAAAACAGAAGTTGATGCCCCCAAAGCACATAATATTCTTCACATACAGTATTATGATATTCTGTACTTTTTTGCACTTCAATGGAACTGTGGAATACACATCTTCTTCATGAAAAATTGGGACATTCCAATCCTACAGAACACATAGAAACAAAATCACAAACAACAAAATCCTCTTTGGTGGGGTTATCTGTATGAGCTGTAAACTGTATGAGCTGAAGATCACTGTGATGTGCTCCTTACCAGAACTATGCCGAGTGCCAACGACTGCTGGACAGATCACCAATTCCACGATGGCTATGAAGATTATACCTCAGGACTGGTTTGCTGAGAATGACAGTGAGACTGAATTCATGACTGACAAGAAAAGGAAGGCCTTTCAGATCTGGCAAAGAGATAGAAACTGTGCCACTAAGAAAAAACTCTATGCCAACACTAAGGCTGAGGGTCAAAGAAGAACCAGAGAACGCAAAAACACCTGGTGGGTAAAAAAAGCTCAAGAGATCCAGCACTTAGCCGACACTCATAATGCACAGAGTTTCTTTAAAGCCACAAAGACTATCTATGGGCCAACAAATCATAGCTAAACAAACGGTACCACACTTCTAAAAGATAAAGAAGCTATTGCACTGCACTGGAAAGAACATTATCAGCATCTCCTTAACCACAACTCCCCCATAGCTGCTGAGGTCTTCTCACAAATCCCACAAAAACAAATTAGAAATGAGCTTGCAGTATCTCCAAAACTGGGAGAGTTGTGTACAGCTATTAAGCAAATGAAAAACAACAAAGCCAGCGAACCTGATAAGATACCTGTTGAAGTCTTCAAAGTGGGTGGAATTGAATTTACACAACTTCACAAGCTAATCAAAAAAATCTGGGAGAGGGAGCAGATCCCAACAGACTTTAGGGATGCCAAAATTATCTCTTTAAAAAATGGTGAAAGAATGGATTGCAGAAGCTATCAAGGTATCTCTTTATTAGCCGCAGCCAGCAAAATTCTTGCAAGGATCTTAGCAAACCGTCACCTCACAATATCTGAGGCTACCCTTCCTGAATCCCCAAATGGTTTTAGACCTTCTAGGGGGACAGTGGACATGATTTTCACCACTTGAATGTTTCAAGTAAAATGCAGAGAGCAAAACCAACTCCTGTATATGGTGTTTATTGACCTGACTAAGGCCTTAGTAAATCGTAATGCCCTGTGGACTGTCCTTATGAAAATCGGTGCCCAGATAACTTTGTAAACATCCTTCAGCTCCTCCATGATAATATGACAGCAACAATCACAGATAACAATGGCTCTCCGTGAACCATTCACAGTGGGATCAGGTGATAAACAGGGTTGTGTTATCGTCCCAATTCTATTTATTATTTTCATCTCCATGATCCTACACATTGTTGAAGGAAACTCCCCACCGGAGTAGAAATCATACATTGAAGAGATGGAAAGCTCTTTAATCTGAGTAGGCTGAAAGCAAAGTGTAAGGTTACCATAACTTCCGTCATAGAGCTTAAGTATGCTGATGACAACGTAGTGTGTGCACACTCGGAGGATGACCTTCAAACCATCCAAAATATCTTTGCAGAAAAGCTTGGCCTATTGCTCAACATCCAAAAAACCAAAGTGCTGCGCCAACAAGCACAAAACAACCTCTCTGCAGTGCCACAAAACCAACTCAATGGTGTAACGTTGGAAAGTGTCAATCACTTCTGCTACCTGGGCAGTTATCTTTCCACAAGGGCCAACGTTGATACCAAAATCCAGCAACGCCTGAGCTCTGCAAGTGCAGCTTTCTCCCGATTGAAGGGCAGAGTGTTTGAGCACAGGACATTTGCAGGGAAACCAAAATACTTGTTTACAAAGCTATTGTACTACCAACCTTACTGCGTGCTTGTGAAACATGGACCACTTGTAAATGCCATCTCCAACTCCTTGAAAGATTCCATCAACAGTGTCTCTGAAAAAATTACATATCACTTGGGAAGATAGGCGAATTAATGCCACTGTACTGGAAGAAGCAAAGATCACTAGTGTCAAAGCAATGATTCTTCAACATCAGTTCTGTTGTTTGGATGCCCAATTATCGTCATCCAAAGCAACTACTCTATTCCCAACTTAAAAATGGAAAGTGTAATGCTGGTGGTCAACAAAAGAGGTTTAAAGACTCTCTCAATGCAAATCTTTAAAATTGTAGCACAAACACCGACAACTGCGAAACACTGGCCTGCGCTCCAATTGGAGAACAGCCTTTACCAAAGGTGTCATGAACTTTGAAGACGCTCAAACTCAGGACAAAAGGGGGAAATGTGCTAAGAGGAAGGCATGCTTGGCAAACCCTCACCATGATCAACTCCCCGCTGGAAACCTATGTCCCCATTGTGGAAGGATTTGTGGATCCAGAATTGGCCTCCACAGTCACTTACGGACTCACTGTTAAGACCATGTTCATGGAAGACAATGTTACTTGGCTACGAGTGATCGGCAAAGAAGAAGAGTTCCTGCATCACCGTGGCTGGATACATCTTATACAATTGTAGAGTTGGAAGGGACATTGAGGGTCATTTGGTAAAACCCCCTGCAATGCAGGAATCTCAGCTAAAGCATCAATGAGAGATGGCCATTCAACCTTCTGCTTAAAAACCTTCAAAGAAAGAGGGTCCATAACCTCCCAAGAGGTTCCACTGCTGAACAGCTCTTACTGTCAGAATTTTTTTCCTGGTGTTTATTCAGAATCTCCTTTCTTGTAACTTGAAGCCATGGGTTCGAGTTCTACCCTCCACAGCAGGAGAAAACAGACTTCTCCATCTTCCATGTGATAGCCCTTAAGATATTTGAAAATGGCTATCATATCTCCTCTCAGTTTCCTCTTTTCCAGGCTAAACATACCCAGCTCCTTCAACCATTCCTCATAAGGCTTGGTTTCCAAACCCTTGGTTTCCAGACCTAGATCATCCAGACCCTTGATCCAACTACTCTGCACACACTCCAGTTTGTCAACATCCTTCTTAAATTGTGGTGCCCAGAACTGGACATAGGACTCCAGGTGTGGTCTGGAGTCTATTACTTCCCTTGATCTGGACACTATACTTCTGTTGATGCTTCATCAAGCAAAACCACCCCATCACTATATTCTATTGTCACATATATCAAACAATTTCTCTTCCAATGTTTTTTTAAAAACATTGGCCCTCAATAAGCTTAATTCCTTAATTCACACCCTCCATCAACACTGGGAAAAAACCACAGGGAAATACATTTTCTGCATGTTTTCCATTCCACAACTAATACTGGCTTTGGAATGGGGATTTGCATCAGGGTGTCAACATAAAGGAAAGAGTTGGATATCCCTCCCTTTTCCACGTTGGCTCTCCATAACCTGCAGCTGCTTTTAATCAAAAGAGTAAGACAAAAGTGATGATTTGGGGAGATGTATTTCACATACATCTCTGGCATCATGCCAACTTTGGCTCCAAGAATAATATTTCACATTTCTGATGACACGGGCCGTAGACTATAAAGGCTTATGCTATAATAAATCTTTTGGTCTTAAAGGTGTCTGAAGACTCTTATTTGTTCATTGTAACTATCAGGGCTACCCGTCTCAAATTTCTTATGTAGCCATTGACTCACACCATAAAACGTTGGAATGAAACACAACTCTGCAGAATTTCATACAGGAGTTCTCCTCAGACCCATGAGCAAGCAATCTTTTTTTTTTTTTATGTCGCCTTTTGAAAGTTAAAACCATGCTCAAGGCAGCTTGCTCTCTCTCTATATATACACGGACATATTGAACAATTTCCATATAAATAAGAAAGCTAAAATGGCAATACAAAAATTTGCTATCAATAACAGAAACGACCTCCCACCACCATTGCAACAAAACGTCCTAAACAACACCCCAGCCCAAGAGTTTGATCAGCAGCCTCAACTTTTGTAGCTGGAATTAGTCAGGGCCCCGCCCTCCCAGGTCAGGTGGGAAAAGGCCTGCAATGAAGGGAGCTGGTCTTCCAGGTCTTATAGCCAATAGGATGAGTTCCACATACTCCAAAGTAGCTCAACAGCGCCACCCGGAGCGTCCAGGATTTCTCACCTCCACTGTGAACCTGGATTAGTAGTTACAGTGGAATCTTGGTTCTCAAAGAGCTTAGTTGACGAACAAATTGGTTCCTGAACGGCGAAAACCCAGAAGTAAGTAAGTATTCCCATTTTTAAACGGTTTTCGCAAGCTGAACATCTGATGTGGCTGCTGGCTATTGTTTCCAGGGCGCCTGTGCCAATCGGAAGCCGCACCTTGGTTTTCGAACATTTCGGGAGTCGAACAGACTTCCAGAACAGATTAAGTTCGAGAACCAAGTTTCGACTGTATTTCTGAACATACACCCTCAAGTTAAGCCTCTTTTCACAAAGATTAACTGGCCAGAACTGATTAGCTTTTTTTTACTTGTAGGTACCTATTAGTTAGAAGGGACGTGGGTGTCGCTGTGGTCTAAACCACTGAGCCTAAGGCTTGCTGATCAGAAGGTCGGTTGTTCGAATCCCCGCGACAGCGTGCGCGCCCGTTGCTCGGTCCCTGCTCCTGCCAACCTAGCAGCTCGAAAGCACGTCAAAGTGCAAGTAGATAAATAGGTACCGCTCTGGCGGGAAGGTAAACGGCGTTTCCGTGCGCTGCTCTGGTTCACCAGAAGCGGTTTAGTCTTGCTGGCCACATGACCCAGAAGCTGTACGCCGGCTCCCTCGGCCAATAAAGCGAGATGAGTGCCGCAACCCCAGAGTCGTCTGCGACTGGACCTAATGGTCAGGGGTCCCTTTACCTTTACCTATTAGTTATTATTATTTATTCAATTCATATCCCTCCTGAAGGCACCCAGGATGGCACCCATAATAACTAGGCTCAAAGTAAATTCCTGATTGGCCACAGAGACCAGTGCCATTACTGATAGAGCACATCTCATGACTGGGCAAAACATCAATCTTTTCCTGCTTCTTTTGCTCTCAGGTTCCCATAGACTTCAAACTGGGTTGAAGGGAGGAGCCCTTGGCAGGAGGGTATAGAAGCTTCTCTGGCAGCTGATCAGTCCTTGGATATGGCAGGAGATTCACTGTGTCTGGTGGCTTCCCTGCCTCTGATCAAAGTCCTGTCTGAAAATGCCAGGGATTATTCTGGGTTTCAAAACATCTATCATGCCTCCTCTTGTGTATGAGGGAAGGCAGAATATGTATATCCTTCCATGCTATACAGAGTTTTTATAAGGACCTGTATTCAAATATTTATAATCAGCTCCCCGATAAATTGAAGACACTTTTTAGTTGATCAAAAGTTCTTAATTCATCTAATTTATAAATCATTTAACTGTTGAAACCTTATTATAAAATATATGGAATGGTTTCTACAGTGCTTTTTCTCTAGAAAAAGAGGTGCAGGAACTCCCAAGAAAAAGAGGTGCGCTGCTGCCCAGATCGCAGCGACCTACTGCAGGCCGGCTCCAGCATGCAGCTATGAGAGCCATTCCAGCAGCAACACTAAAAAGGTGCCGGAACGCAACAAAGGGGTGCTGGAATTCACCACACAGCAAGTTCTGGCTGTAAAAAAACCCCGGGTTTTCATTTTTTCCTGTTGTATAACCATCAAAATGAGAACAATTTTAGAATTAATCAATTCTGTTAAGTTTTTAAATACTTACCAAGGGGAGCCATATATCCTGAAGCCCCTTACTGTCACTTCTGAATCTTGAAGGTATATGCAATTTGTTAAGAGAGACTGCACATTTTCGTAGCTTTCTGGCTTCAGCTTGGATACAGAGGGAAAGTAGTAAAAGTCCTGCTTGATTAAGTCCGCCATGAACTCTTGGTCAAACGTCAGTTCATGATTGCCTGCTATCACAATCTTGTATTCATATGGTAGGCTGCCTAAATGGTAGGGAGAAAACACAATAAACCCATTTATTGTTACACTTATTTTTAAAAACCCCAAAATGAAGTATGCATATTCAAATTATGCCACCGATGTTGCCAATCATTCCAAAGGAAGTCCAAAGATGAAACTCATAGTGATTATACCTAGGAAAGCAATATGGCTCGCACTTCTTCAAGTTCTTGGCAAGTCAAACCCTTTAAATATTTGCTTCTTGTGGGATAATAACCAAAGTGAAGAATTGTTCAGCGATTTTTGCACATTTGTAGAAATTTTACTTACCATAATTAAAAGTTATAATTCATTGCAAATTAAAAGTTAATTTCAGTGTTTCACAAGAACAGCTGACAAATCTGTTTGTGTCATTACTAAAAGTATCAAACATGTTCAGGTTTTAAGTATCTTTTACGTTGTTTAAATGCATGGCCATTATTTGACTAGTCAATTGATCAACTATTTATGATCCAACTTTGTTCCCCAAGCACTGTTCTCCTCATTTGAGTTGTGATACTAGAAGTGAGGTCAACTACACAAAAAGCACCTGGAAGGTAAAAAAACAGGTGTGGAGAAAGTTCAGCACCTCTTACTCAGGTACATATTTTGCTACTGAAATACCTGCTCCTATTGTGTTTATGACATTTCCGTACTTAAACACACAAAACTCATCTATCACATCTCACGTGGCCCTAACTGTCAATATACATTAGTATAGTACTTCGGTAAATATCCATTCTTACCCATTTCCCCCAGACACCTATTTTTCCATACAAGCTAAAATGGATCCCCCTACCCTGAAATCCTATCAAAATTACTCATCTACATGAATATTGATTTTGAAATGATAGCTAACAAATCTAGCTTTAATATAACCTGGACATATGTACTTTTTAAAATAAAAAAGCCCACCCTCTTTCATCTCTATTCTTTACTGCACATCAGGATTTTCTGCCCTTATGATACAATTAGATTTATTCAAAACTCTTCTTGAAATTTAAGATATAAGTTCAATTGCAGTTTGAAAAGACTTGTCTCCTTTTCATATATATGTTGACACCAACATGAGCTGCTAATATCACACAAGTGCTATAGCTGTTAACAAGCTTCAAACTAGTATCCTTATAAAATATAGAAGAAAATTCAATACAGTAGTACCTCAGGTTACATAAGCTTCAGGTTACAGACTCCACTAACCCAGAAATATTACTTCAGGTTAAGAACTTTGCTTCAGGATGAGAACAGAAATCGTGCAGCAGCGGCGCAGGAGGCCCCATTAGCTAAAGTGGTGCTTCAGGTTAAGAACAGTTTCAGGTTAAGAACGGACCACCAGAACGAATTAAATACGTAACCAGAGGTACCACTGTACTAAACTTGCATGAACAATTCAATTTCCACTGTGATTTCTAAATGATTTCCAGCTCATCTAAACCTACTAAATCTACTAAACTAAAACCCTTAAACTGGATATAGTTGTTGCTTCAAATAATGTATTTATGTCATGCTGCTATCTATGGATGTTACTTAAGCAAATTATCAAATGACTTTAAATGTACAGCAACACTTATCATAGAGGTAGCTGCATCGTTGTGGTTATAGGTCCGTCAGCTGTTCAATTAACAACTCTATTTTTGATGAGTTTGCAGCACAGCTTTTTTCAAGCTTCTCCATACCTATTGGCAAGTCAGTAAGCCTTACATTACAGAAAATGACCTGATTATTTCCCCCAAACTAAATATTAGGCCATAATATTATAAATATTCATGCTTGCTCAACCACAGAAGAACTTGCTGTTCAGTAGTTCTCATTCACAGAGCTATATATGTTCAGATGCACAAATAGTTGCTTGCTTGAAGCCCTGGTCCCCAGTATTTGACATCTTGGGAGGTACTGGTCCATGGAAGCAGTAATGAGTTGGAAGAGGGCCAATAAACTTAAGCCATATCCTCACAAGACAGACGCACGGGTGGTTTCCCTGCCTGGAAATTGGGTGAATGGTAAAGCTAAAGGAAAAGAACCCCTGGACAGTTAAGTCCAGTCAACGGTGACTATGGGGTTGTAGTGCTCCTCACATCAGGCCAAGGGAGCCACCATTTGTCCAAAGACATGGCCAACATGACTAAACCTCTTCTGGTGCAACAGAACACCATTACAGAAGCCAGAGAGGACAGAAACACTGTTTACCTTCCCACCTATTTATCTACTTGCACTGGTATGCTTTCAAACTGCTAGGTTAGCAGCAGCTGAGAAAGAGCAATGGCAGCTCACCCAATCAAGTGGATTTGAACTGCCAACCTTCTGATCAGCAAGCCCAAGAGGCTCAGAGTTGCACTTACCCTCAAGTGACAGATTCAGTGCTGAACTTGAGGCTCTGAACTGAAATAGTGACTATTTTCACTGTGTATTAGGACTGTGTATTAGCTGTGGTTGTTCCCGGACCACGATAGCCTGGCCACACCTCTTCCTATATCAACCAATTTGGACTCTGAGGTTGGCAGAGGTCACCTTTTTTGTTGTCAGCTGTTGCACGGCAAGTGGCAAGACGGGATCAGTCCTTATCCATAATAAAAACCCCAACTAGAACTCTCTCCCTCAGTAGGCATAGAATGACCCAGCTTTGATGGAATTCAGGCATCAGGTTAAAATAAGGTTACCAGATTTTTTTCAATGAATCCGGGGACACTTTTCAACTTCAATGAATTCTGTATGGGGACTGATTTGTAAATCCGGGGACTGTCCCCAGGAAACGGGGATGTCTGGTAACCTTAGGTTAAAATCTATCTGTTCTCCCAGGAATTTAGTGAATGAAATCTAGACAATTTGAGATCTTGAGATGTGTCAAACCACTGCTGGTTTGTCATCAATGGTGGTTTTAAAATTAACTTAGTTTTATATGTTTGTTGTTTCTTTGTATAACATATTGTTTTATAGTACAGTGGAAATGGCTCTGATTCTTTTGAAATGAAGTACAGCCTACAAGGTTAATGAAATAAATTAAATTAGCAGCAGAGCTTTGCATCCCACATTCAGAAGATCCTATGTTCAGTCTTTGGCTTCTCCAGCTAAAAGGAACTAGTAACAGCTGATATGAAATACCTTTTCCTAAGTAGGAAATATTTATCTAAATGGACAAGTACATTCTGTCCTGGTACAAGGCAGCAGCTTCTTATGCTCCTAATCAAATGCATGGAGAAGCCATTCAAAGTGAGGAAGCTACTCTATCGGAAGTAAATCACTGGACTGGAGTGAGCAGGATGGGATATTCCAATCCAGTAAGTCAGTAGAATGTGGTTGCCCTAAAATCCTACTAACACGAATCCATAGCTACTCCAGTATAGACTGGTTGGTGGAGTGCAGTCTTATGATCTAAAGTTAAATTATGCAGAATACTTTTGTCGTTTCAGAGTACTCTGAAAGCATTCTTTTGCCAGGTAAATTGCTTCTGCATTTGGGCTTCTTTTATGAATTAGAAAGATAACATACAATTTCCCATCACTTAAGCATAACATAACAGACATGGCATGGCAATTACCACAAATATTGAAAATCCTTCTGTACTAGAAAGTCTTGTGTATTATTTCCAATGATTTCGAATTAATTTCCAAGACCAGGATGTAAAGAAATACGCAACTGTTTCTCTGCCTAACAGGCAAGTTTTTCTTGAGCAGCAGAAGTACTTTACTGCATGACAAACCAGTTTTGAAACTTACAGGAGTTTGAAAACCAGTTCTTAACATAGAAAAAGAGCCTGCCTTTCAAAGGAGAGGAAGAAATTGACTGGGTGCCCATTTAGGCATGTCTAAATTAGCTTTTCAGATGCTAAATCAAATAGTGCAAATTATTAATAAATCACAGGGCACAGTGATTAGCCTAATATATAAAATTTGAAAGCTCTTACCCTTTGATATATCTCCTAATATGATCAGGTTAAAAGAAGCCCTCAATGTAAACCTTTTCTGTCTCTCTTTATGGTGTTCTGTATACTGCCTATGTTTTTGGTGTATTAAGAGGGAGAAGAACACTTGTAATATAGGAACCCAAGAAGAATGTGGGTTGGGGAAACTGTAGATTATTGGCCAGCTCAGAAAGTGGTAGTGGGAAATCGCAGTTTGGCTCCTTGGTGTTTATGCTGTTGGATTCCAAAGGTTCCATCTTGTCTCCCATAGCATCTATTTGAAGCTGCTGAGTAAGATTGTATGAAGATTTGGAGTGAGGAACCATCAGTATGCTGATGGCACCCAGCTCCTTTTTGTTGGGACTCAAGTGAGATAGAAGACATGCTGAAACAGCATCTGAAAGCAGTAATGGATTTGATGAGGGCCAATAAAATGAAGTTTAGTCCAGGTGAGACATTGTAGATGTTTCACCTAACCAGGGAGATGATGTTCAATCTATTCTGAATGAAGTTGCAAACCTTCTAAAATATTAGGTTCAATGCTTGGTGGTTCACGTAAGGGTGATACGTAAGTTGCAACCCCTTTATCAGCTAGCATGGTCACAGTGGCCTGTGACCTGTTAACCTCCCAACTTGATTACTACAAAGTGTTATACATGGGGTTGCATTTGAAGAGTTACCAGAGTCCAGTTAGGCTGGGAACGAGTAGAGAATATAGTCAAGGGACCCAAGGGACTGCCATTTTCACAGATAGCTGCCTGAGTCCCTCATTTATCATCAGAAGTCTACATTCAGGTCCACGCACCATCTGATGGCAGATGAATAGTGACTGGGAACAGGGTTTTCTCATTTGTAAAAGCTCATATATAGAATTCCTTCTCCAAAGAAGCTCACCTGACACCAGCTCTGAGTCTTCTCAGCTCCACTGCCCATACTTCCAAAATGTTTTAGAATTATCTTTATAAATCTGCTGTATTTCTTGTTTTTATTGTAGCATAAGCTTTTGGGGACTAAAGTCCAATTCACCAGATGCTTGAAATTTAATCCTCAGTTGGCAGGTGTATATACATCTATAACTAGAGCAAAATATAATTAGCCATTTTTCTGATTTTTTTGTGTAACTGCATATTATCTATATCCCTAACTTCTTCACCAGTAACTTTGTGAGTGTGAGCTCTGTTTTTCATTTTTCACTTCATTCTTTAATTTGACGGTATCAGTCTAATGGGCATGTGTCTGTCTATAGCTTATAGCTGATAATTGCTTTGTTTATTCATTTTGAACATTTATTTTACAAATTAAGGAATATGAAATGGATTGGGGGGGAAATGTTATGTGCCAGCTAAAACACAGTATTCCAATTTTCAAACTACTGTGCACTTTATAGTGAGGATTTCAGCATTATGAGACACTGTGGTCCGTATTACTGGAGCAACAAAAGTAGGATATCACCACATTTCAAGGGCCCCATTCACCTTATTGTTCATCATGTTTTTCAAGAATAAACAAAATACTGCCAAGGTTCTGAAAACCCGTTTGCAGTACTTATATTACTCAAAATGATTCCCAGCTTTGATTTATTACACCTACACCAGAAAGGTCACCTTAGCACTTAGGCACCCTATCTTTCCTGATCACAGCCTTCCCAGCAGCCCTACGTTTTATAAAAAGCAGGAAGAGGTTAATTGCAAGCTCTTGGGCAGAGGACGGAGGGTGACAGGAGAAGCGGGGGCAGCTGCAGTTGTACATTAAAGTTTACAACTTTTGAATGGTCAGCAGAGCACAACATGGGCAGAGGACATCATTCCAAAATCTATTACTGCTTTGTTGGATGCAAAGTACTGATGGGTGAGCTCTCCCAAACTAGCTGTAGATCAACTAGAAGTTTTGTTATAATCTTATAATTTGTTATAATCTATAGTTCGGTTGAGAGATATTTTTCCTATCTATTAGTGATCATTGCTTTTAGTTTGTTATTGTTGATTTTAATGTTTTATTTCCTTGAGCTGTGTTGTATGGGTTCTTCTACTTTGTGTGTTGCTTTGAGATTATTTTTGTAAAATGATCAATAAATAAAATAAGTAATAATAACAACAACCAGTAATGAGCCAAGTTCTCCACCCCAAAATCTGAAGAAAAATTATTTTAAGTCAATGTAATCCATGGTTTGACAAAATGAACTTCCCCATCACCACCAGCCATCCCCATTCCTGAAAGATCTCACTGCCCGCCCGCCCAAGCGGCAGGATAATACAGGGAGAAGAGACTGAGAAGGCTTGTTGCTTCCCTTTTATCTTCATTTCCCAGGCAAGCTGTGCAGCCAATGGGGCAAATGTCCTTCAATTTTGTAGTGCAGCATTCTTCTGGTCAGTGTCCCACGCACATGAAGTGGGGAGGACGGAGTCAAACCTATCTCCTCTGTTCTGTCAATCACTGCTATTTTCCAGAGAAAGGGGAGAGGGTGTTTTGGGAAGTAGGGCTTGTAGTAAGAATTTTAGAGAGGCAGCAAGGGTCTGACACAGATAGTAGAGGGAAGCTGGGAATTCTTCTATGGCTTGGATTTTCTATTCTTTTAGCAATGGATAGATGAGATGACAGCTATCGCAATATATGAACAGTTTACTTTTAGACACAGATTGTGCACAGATAAATACAATTCTATTTGGAAGGCATTTTAAAAAAATTATCAGGTCATGTAAGTAATTTCACATTAGTTGGAATAACTGCATTACTTGTATACCTATAATTTGTATTGTATCACTGTTTCAAATATTTTTTTCTTTCCTTTCACTTCATTTTCTCTCTCTCTCTCTCTCTCTCTCTCACACACACACACACACACACACCCACACCCACACACACCCACAAGCTGTGTAACGCATGTTTAGATCTCTGAAATAAAAGTAACAGTATATGTTAATGCCAAAGTCCAGCAATGGGGGGTGGTGCAAGCAGGGGGCAAGCTCCTTGTTTAGTGGGGCAGCTGCTTCCCCTCTGCCTTAGACCAGTCTGGTTTACCAGTGTTTGCTCTTGGTCTGTGTGCACTACATTTCTGATCTGCTCTAGATTCCACATAGACTTGTTCCTTCTTTTGTTGGCTTTAATTGCTGCAAGGAGCATCAGTTCTAGAACCAAGCCTAATCATTTTACATGGCTATGCTTTTGTAGCCTTTCCTATGCTATGTGTGAAAATAAATAGTACAAATGATAAACTAACCTCAGTGAGACATATACACAAGCTCCTAACAGCAGTTTGTGCTCTGTTTTTCTGCAGATATTTTATTGGAACAGATTTTAGTATTCTGCAAGAGCACTGGCAACCATATAAATGCTCACTTAACGCTTTCTCTTTCTCATTTCAACCTTTTAGAATACTGAAGTGAGTGATACGGTAAAGACAGTGTAACTGTCTTAGATTGCATTTTAAGCATCTCATTGACAGTTCTGTGTTTAAACACTCGGCTGATGTCTGGGAAATTTACATTAACATTGAAAATGAATACACCTTATTAAATAACCTATAAACTGTTATATCTAACCATCATTGAATAATAAAAGCTAGCAATTAAACTAAACATTAAAATATCAAATAAATATTACAACCCAGCACCAATATTAATAGGAAGGGAAAAGGTGGGTGTGGGTGTATACGCACACACACGGGAGAAAAATTGTCTTGGCTCAAAAATATACCTCCATTTTGAAACTAGACCAATTTACTTAAAAGAAGGTGTCACTGATTTCAATACAAGTTACTTCCAAGTACATGTGATGAGGATAACAGCTTTCCATATCCAATATTACATTTATAGTGGTCTGACAAGTCATTTTCTAAGAAAATTGACTAGAGTATACTACCTTACTTGGTATACCCTCCACAGAACTCAATGGGACTTGCTTCTGACCAGTGATGTGGGTTTTCTAGAAAAAAAATCAATTGGGATATTTTCTGGGGGGAAATCCCTGGGCAAATTCAGGCAGAGCTAAAAACATTGAAACTGCCATATTTGTTTAGTACTGCATTTGCAATCTGCACCCATTCATTGTTACTAATGGACTTTTGAAACAGATTTTTTTTCAACAACAAAGTAAAGCACTGGATAATTTACCTCTCCACATCACTGCTTCTGACTATAGACATGTAGAGGATTTTTAAGAGTAACTATGGGATGTACTACATGAGAAATCTTCTCTACAATCCTTATATGGAGGCCATTTACTGGTGCTGTTTCTGAAGTACATAGCTAACCTACAGTTAATTATTATTAAAATAAATGCCATTTTATTGTTATGGTATGGAAATGAGTACCTAAAGAAGTGGTACTATCCAAAAAAGTTGAGAGGGGGATTTAGTAAAAAAATAAGTATAGGATGAGTATAGGTAGAGAGATACTTCCGAGAAGTTGTGCATATTGCCTTTAAAAACAAACAATACTTAGATTTTGAAATGCGGTAGATGGCAGGAGACAAGGCATGAAAGCCTGGGCCCACTGCTTTGCGACAAGTACCACCTGGTGGCAAATACCCCCTTTCAGGTGATTAAGAGAGTTGTGGTGGGGCAGCTGCAGGGACTCTTGCTTATTTCAACCCCCAACATTCTGGGTTCAGGCCTGATTATGGGCCTGAATTGGCTTTGGCTGACCTGATGGATGGCCTTTATTGGGAGAAGGAAAGGAGGAGCGTGAGCCTGTTGTCTTTACTCGATCTCCCAATGGTCTTTGATCTTAGTGAGATGGTTATTGGAGGCAAGGTTTTACAGTTCAGATCTTACATCTGTTTCAGAGAATAGTATTAGATGATTGTTGCTCAATCTCCTGGCAGTTGTGCTGTGGGGTGCCATGGTCTGCCATCTTGTCAGCAATATGAAGCCAATAGGGGTTTGGGAGCAAAAAGTCATCAGTAGAGTGATACTATCTACCTCTAAGATGTGAAGCAGGAGAGGTCATGCTTGCAAGCCATGTACCTGTTGCCTGGACTGTGGTGGGTTGGATGAGGAAGAACAAACTACCTCTGAATGCTGACAAGACAGAGGTGTGTGGGTGGGTGGTTCCCAAGTCTGGGTTATTGCTCAGTTGTTCATAGTTTGCAGGTCCTCCTGGATTCATCTGTCCCTAGAGGCCCAGGTGACCTCAGTGGCTAGGAGTGCCTTTGACCAGCATCAGCTGGTGAGACAGCTACGGCCATTTCTGGACCTGGATTATCAGACCGCTGCTGGTAACTAGATTACCTCACTGTGCTCTGTGTAGGTTTGCCCTTCAGTTTGGTTGAGAAGCAGCAGCTAGTGCAGAATTCAGCAGCTGAATTGCTCACTGGGGCAGACTAGTATCACCATGCTACGCAAGTGCTGAAAGAACTGGACTTGCTGCCAGTTCAGCTGAGCTAAGTTCAATATTTTGTTTCTGGTGTACAAAGTCATACACAGCTTGGGACCAGGATACCTAAAGGACTTTCTCACCCCTTATATACCCAATCTATATGATCTTATCAAGAGGTCAATACAGGAATCAGGCCTTTAGGGTGATGGCACCTGCTCTTTGAAACTCCCTCCCATTAACTAACAGGCAGGTACCACCTCTGTTGCCTTTTGGTTCCTACTTAGGACCTTCCTTTTAAAACAATCTGTTTTAGTGTAGATATTCATCCCAGTCTGCATCTGTGTTGGATTTGAAATTGTTTTTAATATTTTGAATTGTATTTAATTTTCTGTATATATGGAATTGTTTTTAACAGCTGATGTTTCTCCTGTGAAATTACTTTGAGCTATTTTATGGGAAGCCATTTATAAAAAGAATAAAATAAAATAAATAAAGTTGGGCAACACTTGGAAGAATGCTTGGAAACTTCTGGAAGAATGTAATAAGCAAACACAAAGAAAAGGGACACAACTATGAAAGAAGGACAGTTTGATAGGCATTAAAAGATGAGAAAAGGATTTCTGAGGCTAGAGAAAATGGCAGAATATATTTGAATATGAGAGGAACCAAATCTAAGAAAGTAATAGAAAAAAGTTGTAAGGGGAGGGTTAAATAATGCAATCTGGGATGCAGCAAGAATATGTGGGAAAGGGTGAAAGCTCTTGCCATATGGTGTCAATTATTCCTTCAAACAAATTAGCAAGATCACAGACATAAAGAGAGCAGGAGAAGGAGGGAGGAAGAGGCACATGGGGTGGTTTATTGAAAACAAGAAATTCTTTCAAGGAATCTGGGTAAGTTTTTATATGCTTAGTGTAAATAAATTGTATACTAATTAAAACCCCGAGAACTATTTGTCTGATATTTAAAACCGTATCCCACTAAAAGAGCATGCACTCTCCTACCAACAATAAGGAAACAGCAAAAGAGAGAAAAATTCTCTACTACAGAACCCGTATGAAGTACATCAACATGTTGTCTCAAATGGCATTCCAGCTAAAACCGCAGAATTCATATATTGTACCACATACAACTTTTAGAGTATTTGAAGGGAAAGCAGTCTTTATGAGTTTCTGCCAGGAACAGGAAAATCAAATGAGTAACTGAAAAGCTAACTTTAGGACTATGGTACTAAACAAGAAAGCTGGGGAACTGTTCTAATGTAACCTTTCACACTAACAGAATCATTATGCATTCAAGAGAGGGCCAACAAGAAAGTGGAAACAGGGCAAAGGAAGAAACAACATTTCCTCTGCCATTTCCCCCTGCTGCCAATACACTACCTTCCTTCAACTTTCTTTCCTCACCACTGGCTAAGAGGGAAGAGAAGGTGACTGACCTCAAAGGTAGCCAGCTAGATGTGCTCTTTCCCTGTGGAGGACTCCCTGGTCCTGAATGGGGTAACTGTGCCCCTGAAGGACCAGGTGCGCAGCCTGGGAGTCATTTTGGACTCACAGCTGTCCATGGAGGCGAAGGTCAATTCTGTGTCCATGGCAGCTGTCTACCAGCTCCATCTGGTACACAGGCTGAGACCCTACCTGCCTGCAGACTGCCTCGCCAGAGTGGTGCATGCTCTGGTTATCTCTCGCTTGGAATACTGCAATGCGCTCTATGTAGGGCTACCTTTGAAGGTGACCCGGAAACTACAACTAATCCAGAATGCGGCAGCTAGACTGGTGACTGGGAGCGGCCGCCGAGACCACATAACACCGGTCTTGAAAGACCTACATTGGCTCCCAGTACGTTTCCAATCGCAATTCAAAGTGTTGGTGCTGACCTTTAAAGCCCTAAATGGCCTTGGTCCATTATATCTGAAGGAGCGTCTCCACCCCCATTGTTCTGCCCGGACACTGAGGTCCAGTGCCGAGGGCCTTCTGGTGGTTCCCTCACTGCGAAAAGCCAAGTTACAAGGAACCAGGCAGAGGGCCTTCTCGGTAGTGGCGCCCACCCTGTGGAACGCCCTCCCACCAGATGTCAAAGAGAAAAACAACTACCAGACTTTTAGAAGACATCTGAAGGCAGCCCTGTTTAGGGAAGCTTTTAATGTTTAATAGACTATTGTATTTTAATATTCTGTTGGAAGCCGCCCAGAATGGCTGGGGAAACCCAGCCAGATGGGTGGGGTATAAATAATTTAGTAGTAGTAGTAGTAGTAGTAGTAGTATTTGTACCTCGTCCATCTGACTGGGTTGCCCCAGACACTCTGGGTGGCTTCCAGCAAATATAAAAACATAGTAAAACATTAAACCTTAAAAAGCTTCCCTATACGGGGCTGCCTTCAGATGTTTCCTAAATTTTATATAATTACTCATCTCCTAAACATCTGAACTTGGCCAAGAGCTCTGAGTAGATGACTGGTCTCCCATAGAGTCCTTCTGGCTGACAGTTCTTGTACTGCAATAGAACTAAAGTCACACCTTGGGTAGCACATACTGCTAGAGATGCTTTTTCATAACAATTGGATTGGGAAATGGCCATTATGATACTAATTTCACTCACCATCCACGATCTTTTAAGCAATTGGGGCTGTACTCCCATTAACTTGGATCAGTAAAAATGATTTCCCATCTGATTCCAATTAATCACCCCCAAAGGACTGCAATGGGGGGGGGGGTAATGGGGAGGAGAACAAAAATGGGGTTGGGCTATGGATAACACATGCTCCCCCAATCCTAATTTCTCTCTTAAACTCTGAGTTTGATTAGATGGTTACATGGGTGGCTCTGCTTATCCTCTTGTCTGCTTACTTACTTACTTACTTACTCACTTCTTTCCCCCCGCATTTTCCCTGACAAGGACTCAAGGTGGCTTACATAGGGGCAGTCCTCAGTTTTCCCAAAGAGGACTCCTTTATTTCTTTAACAAACTAGTATTTTTCTGCTCCCCTCATCTGTGAGCCACTCTGTTTTATTGCCCTATTCTGCACAGTCCCACCATACTATATTATTTATTTATGTTAAAAAATTATATACCACCATCGCATGTATAATATCAAGGTGGTGTACAATGATTGAACTAAAACATAAAACAATAGAAGACCAGTACAAAGTAACTCTGAAAACGACTGGCTGGTAAAGAAAATTTAAACAGCTGCATAAACCTGTCAGCCTAAAAAGGATCGTCAAGAGACACCTGGAAGTCCATAGCAAGGATGCCTGTCAAATCTCTGCTAGAAGAGATGGGACTAATGACTCTAAATACTATAGGGGAGTGTGTGTGTGTGTGTGTGTGTGTGTGTGTGTGTGTGTGTTTAAAAGTAAACATTCTTGCTTGAATGGCTAGCTGAAACAACTTTCAGAAAAAGAATACTAGAAAACATAATTGTCCTGGTCAGCTCATAGAACTGTCTTGCACAGGGCTGGATTAAATGGCCACAGAACAAAGGATCTGTGGCTGGAAACTGAACATCGGTAGGCTAAATTTTGATAGGGAGCAAGGAAATGGCCAGAGCCTTGCTCTCAATCAGGCTTCCTCAAACTCAGCTGTCCAGATGTTTTTGACCTACAACTCCCATGATCCCTAGCTAGCAGGACTAGTGGTCAGGGATGATGGGAATTGTAGTCTCAAAACATCTGGAGGGCCGAGGTTGAGGAAGCCTGCTCTCAATGGTTGCGCAACCCCACCCTGGTGATGTGATGAGGGGCCTAGCCACCCTCGTAGACAGAGAGTGGAACAAACTCCCTCCACTCGCAATAAGTGGTGAAACAGCATTTCCCGCTAGAGAATGGGGAAAAGCAAAGGTGTCCTTTTTACTTTCCTTCCTCCTAAAACATCCCCATATAGCACACCCACCCCCTCACTCCAGAGTACTCACTAAGCAAATCATTCTTCCCCTCCACCAACCAGTGTTAGAAACTCATGTGTATAAGCTGGGTGCCAAATGGCTCCTTAAACCAAGGATACAGTCACCAAAACGGAATGTCTAGTTCCCCTTTGGGGGCAAGATGGCTCTGGACTGACTGTGATTGATTAAACATCTGGCTATTTCAAATGACAACCTTGAGCTAGGTTAAGAGCTCTGAGAATGTCAAGAAGAAAAGTCACTTGATCCAGGCAGGGACAGTCCAAATATATATTGGCCACCTCCTACCTCTTTTTCTTAATGGTGACTGCTCCTTATCAGGCTGCACAGAAAAAACATTTTGGTTCCAGAAATTTATTCCCTATTGTGCAGATAAAATATAACTGCTAGAATTCTACAGGATGAGGTATTAGTGTCTGAAAACAGTCCAGATCCAATGATCCCGAGGCATGCACCTCCAGAGGGTGGAGAGGTCAGGGATCATCCTGGCACCCAGGCATCTTCACTTGGTCGCAAGTGGTCAAAAGCCAGGTGCAAAATGTGCCTGGCTAATTTTGAACACTACTCCAAACCTCCATTTCTTCCCTTCCTCAACTGACACCTCACATTTTGTATCTCAACTTCTCTCAACCACACACTAAACTGAATGACACATAAGTTGCCAAACTTCTGATTCTTTTATATCTTTATTCACCCCTAGACAAAAGTCAAAGGTGCCCACAGAAAACAATGGGGGGGGAGGTAAATCAGAATTTTAGTGTAGCTGTGACTCCTCAACAACAGGGAACAGCAAATGTAAATGGTATTTTTTGGTACTGTGTACCTGGAAGTTCCTTCTTCAGGCAATGATATCTTACTCTGTTTTTCCCTACGCTCTCAACTCTAGAAGCTCTGAGGTGGTTATTGGGCACTTTGTTGAATTTAACCTTTCTTTTCTTTTATATTCATTTATATTCCTTTACAAATGTATATACTCCAGCAGTTCTAGAGGGTTCCCTGAGTATGTAGAAACACCTTCCTGATTTTGGTGTCCTCATTTTGTTTCAAACTAACAGGCACCCAACCACCCAGTTCACTACCAGAGAGAACAAGAAACACCCGTAACAAAATGTTGCAGTGTATTCTTGCATCCTAACAGGAGTATTCCTGTTCAGGGTTCCACACGGCCAATTCCATTCAAGCAGGCAAGTCTACTCTTCCCCTGACCTCCAGTTTTCTGTTTTTCTTTTCAACTGTCCCAGCAGCTGAAAGGAAGGAGGGATTGTCTTTTGCCTGGTATGTTAGTCCATTCTGATATTGTGTATGATAAGCCTGCTGCTTCCAGACATGCCAATATGTTTCTCATTGGCCCTATTTTAGATCCATTCCCTGTTGGCACTCACCAACCGAATTTGCTGTTAAAGGAAGAACTGTATTCAGCCCCATGTGCGAAAATGCCCTCAATGTTTAAGATGCCTAATGCACAGGGACACAACATGATACGAAACAGAAAACTGACTTTAAATTCTACACATCAGCACTGTTCAACACTGAAACAAGGGCTAAGTTGTTGCCTCGCTAAAGCAGTTTAAAGGAGCAGGGCATAATCTCTGATCACATCCAACTACCCATCTGAATATTCCATCATAATCTAATGTGGATGCAGAAAGGATTTAAGATTCAAAATGCTTTCTGTATTGTTCGACCTGCTGCACCTCTCTAATTCCATCTGCTGAAAAGCTTTCCATCATTAAAGCTGGTCACTGATATATATTCGCATATATACAAATTCACACATCATTATACCAGTTAGGCTAGCCTTCTAATGACAAAAGGCTCAACAGTGCTAAAAATATACACCACTCATCATTTTCTTGCTTTGCTTAAAATAAGTCTTAACTCATACCACTGCTTCAATCAGTTCATGACATATGAAGTCTATTGTGTTCATTCATACCAAAAAGAATTTTTTCATCCTACATGCTTACTTTAGGACCATTCATTTTAATGGGGTTTAAAAATATTCAATGCTATGCATGAATCTCAGTTTTCAGCCATTTTTCCTATTCTTTTGAGAGATAATTCAGGAAAATATCCGTCAAAGTGGAAATCCATGATTCATGGGAATAGCGGGGCAGCCACTTAGTGAAGCAAAACTAAAGCTTATACTTTAAACGCCTACTCCAAACAATACAGGAGTGCATGTAGATTACTGCTTGCTTGCTTGCTTGCCCAATGGAAGAGAATTTCAGTGAACAATGCCAACAGTTCCTACAAAAGGCATCTGCAGCTCTAGCCAAGGCAGCAACTACATGCTCGTGCTTTGCTTTGTTTGGATTTCAGGACTGCAGTGCAGCTGAGCCACAAACAGAAAAATTATCAGCCTCTGGGGTAAATAAATGTTTGCCATGTTTGCAAGAGTTGCTATGCAAATCATCAAAGGTTCAACTGTTGAGTTGCAGCAAAGTTTAGAAATTCAGGAAGCAAAAAATCATGACTTCAAACTGCTGCTTCTTACAGCTGAAGCACACAGTAATCTGATTTTGTCACTGTGCTGATCACTTACTTCAACACCAAGACAAAATTAATATTCATAATTCTCAGAAGCAGAGGTATGGTTTTATTCACTGGTTAAATGAAACTAGCTTTAGAAATTATTTGTAACGCTATACTCACCTAACCACTCATTGAATTTTTTAACTTCACTAGGCAGTCCCAGTTCAGTAAAATCACCAGCATGTATTAAAACATCACCATATGGCATTTGGATAGGATCTGTTCTGGAGTGAGTATCAGATACACAGACAAAACGTGTGTATCCAGGAGGCTTAGGAGCATCATGTGGAACAGGATCCACCCTATGTAAAAAATATTGAGGAATTATTACAAAATGTAATCATATGACTGTGTTTTTCACACATCTAGTTTGCAAATCCAATACACTCTCACCATGTATATGACACAGCAATTCAGAAAAGCCAAGCAGACAAGCAGTACATTTTTTAACTCAGTTTTCATAATTGTTGGACAAAATTGTTGTAAAAATAAATCAGAAATGTTTATTACTTTATAGCTATTTTTTCCTTACTGCAAATGAATAAATACCTCTTCTTGTTGAAGTTCAGTTAACATACCATTTAGAGAAAACCTTTAAATATATTTTTCAAATACATTTTTTCAACTTTTCACAATAGTTAAATCAATAACTGGCCTTTCTGTAGTGATATTAATTTGGAGAGAGAACAGTTTACATGATCTGGATTACAGATATTTTGAGTGTGTGCTGCAATCCTAATCCCACTCACCTATGAGTAAACCTGCTTTAATTTAAGTGGTCTTACTTCTGAGTAGACATGGTTAGGATTACAGCCTAAATAACCAATTCTGTAATACATTAACATAGATTATACATAACTGAAACGTCTGTAAGCTTTCAAGGAAAACCAGTCTGAAAAAGCTCATGAAAAATAGCTGTTTAACAACAGGTACAGAGGTTAGGCCTGGGAGATATAGAGAAACTTTGCCTGAAGCCGGTTTAAAGATAAAATTGTGAGAGCGATTTTAGAATTTCCTATCAGGCAACGTTTCATGAATCCCCAGTGCCGCTCCCAGCCAGCACTGCGCACTTCAGACAGGCCACTTGATGACCCCCTGGTGCTTGGCCACACCTCCCTCCGCAGCCCAGCCACCAGCCTCGGGAATGGGGCTTGCCTGCCTGCTAGCCAGTGACTTCATTTCCCCCCCTGGCCATACAACCACTGGCAGGCTGTCCCCTCCCTTGGTTCCTCCTTGCACTGAGTAGAACGGTGGCTCCTGGTAGCCGCCGCTTGCACAGTGAGACTATCATTGGCGCGGTTCCGGGGAGACCGGCGGCTCCGTGGTGCCATGGCATGCAGCGCACCAGCTGATGTGCTCCACCCAGGGTGGCGCTGCCTGCTCGGCCTCACCAGGAAGAGGCAAAAGATGTGCATCTCCTTGGCTGGCGATATATTACAATGTTGGAAAGCAGATATTGCCTAGTTCTAACAGAGATCATTTGAAACACAAACATAAAAATAGGGTATAAATGGAGTTGTGTCTACCAGCAGCTGATGAGGCAGTTTGCTGTTGGAAATCTTGCTTGCACTGCCACTGAAATACAATCTAGGGGCAGGTCACATCCTTACTGATAATTGTCAGGAGACAGCAGTGGGGAGTAGGGCTCAGTCAACAGCCTGGAAGCTTATTGATGGCCCTTGCTGAAATCAGCAACCTGCACCTGTGCCAGAGGACAGCGAGCTGTCAGCTATCCACTGCCAGCTCCCAATGGCTACTGGAAAGGCATGCTTTTCTCTTTCTCTCAATTGCCCCATAGCAATGCTTCACCAGCCATTTTTTGTTAAGTTTCATATGCACATGTTGTAATACATTATAAACACTTAATGCTAAACTATCTAGCACAGTGTACCTTTGCATAGAGTATTAAGCCCCCAAGTTTCACAGCGCAACTGGATGGTAACTACTTCATATAAGTTAGATATAATGAAACATACCCTTTTCATAAATCAGTCTAGGGCAGTCTATTTCCTAGATATTTTCATGATGCATAACATAGCCCAAAAGTTGTTCCAGAAGTCAACATTTCAAAGGGAACAACAAAATATGTGATCATGAAAAAGCCAGCCAGAACATAAATAAAAACCAGGCTTGAACCCAGATAGGGTGGCAAAAAAATATCAATACAGATATACAAAGTGTGGCAGAACTAGGTACTGGTAGCTTCAGGTTTCCTCAGTCCAAATTTTCCAAGAAATCACCAGTCTTTTGACTCCACTCTCTAGGGTATTTTTAATCAGCAAAAGGAGACACTGTGCACAGTAATTTGCCTGCAATGTTCCAGTCCCAGTTCAGGCTACTATTAAGACATTTCAGATTAAACTTTATATTTATAAAGCACTTCACATAATTATGAGCACCTTTTTATTATTGCACACAATAAATGAATAATAAATTACCAACTCAAAAAACCCTTACAGAACAGGTAAGGTAGATGGCCCAAATATTCTCTGAAGATCTTTGAGGCAATTTCAGAGGTGAAACTGTAGCTGAAAGTAATCTCCCTTTGTCCTACTTTCCCACTATAATTACTTGTGTATTGTGGGGGTGTTGGCAGTGCCCTAAGTGTAATACAGTGGTACCTCTAGTTGCGGACACGATCCGTTTCAGGGTGCTGTTCACACTCCAAAAAGTCCGCAACTAGAGCGGTGCTTCTGCGCAAACACGGAGTGTGATAGAGCGCTTCTGCGAAGTGCATAGAACGCTTCTGCGCGTGCACGAAGCATGAATGCTTCTGTGCGTGTGGCGACGGGTTTGCCGCATTCGCAACCCAAAAAGCCGCAATGTGAAGCAAACGCAATAAGAGGTATGACTGTAAATCAGTTGACTTAAAAGTATGCTTAATCCTTCCCTGACTGTTCTGAATGGGAAATTGCCAGCTCTATGATACGGTGAGAATAAAACATTGCTTCCCCCTCCCCATTTAATCCCCACAACAACCCTGTGAGAGTGGTTAGGCTGAGAGGCAGTTGATTTGAACGCTGGTGTGCACTTGTAAAGAAATCCATGACCTGGAGTATGCAAAGCAGATTGAGGGTATATGGGTAAAAATGGCAGGAGAGAGAAACAACAGCGACCTTACTGTGGGAGTCTGCTACAGACCGCCAAGCCAGACTGAAGATTTGGATGATGCTTTACTAGAGCAGATTACCAAACATTCAAAAAGGAGAGATACAGTAGTCATGGGATACTTCAATTGCCCCAATATCTGTTGGAACTCAAACTCTGCCAAGAATGTAAGGTCCAACGAATTCCTCCATGGCCTCGCCAACAATTTCACCTGACAGAAGGTAGAAGCAGCAGCAAGGGGTTCATCTATCTCAAACCTGGTCCTCACTAACAGTGAAGAACTGATCAACAAAGTGGAAGTATTTGGAAACTTGGGAGAAAATGATCATGTCTTCCAGGGTTTCATGATACAGAGGCAAGAGACATGCACTCTGGACTTTAAGAAGGCCAATTTCAAAAAGCTTAAGGAGCTACTGGATGAAATCCCATGGTCAGGAATACTCAAAGAGAAGGGAGTCCAAGATGGATGGGAGTCTCTAAAAGCAGAAATAATGAAGACCCAAATGCAACAATTCCAACAAGGAACCAGTGTGGCTGCATAAGAAGCTTACCAATGAGCTGAGAGTTAAGAAATGAAATAAAGGGGAAATAACAAAGGAGGAGTATACATGTGTAGCCAACAGTTGCAGGGGGGAGGACAGGCAGGCTAAAGCTTAGAATGAGCTCAGGCTTGCAAGAGAGGTTAAAAATAAATTTAAAAAAGGTTTATTTGGCTATGTCTAAAGCATGAGGAAAAATAGGTAAGTGGTAGGTCCTCTGTGTGGAGAAGACAGAGAAAAGCTATCATTTATTTATTTATTTATTTCCCGTCCAACTGGCTGGGTTTCCCCAGCCACTCAGGGCAGCTTACAGCATATATGAAAACGTAATAAAAAAATGAAACATTAAATAGATAAACCAATAAATCAACAGTAATAATAATAATAATAATAAACAGTTTACAGTTTTACCCAAATTAAAATAAACACCAACCCCAACTAAACAATTAACCAACACTAACCCAACAAAACCTAAACAGGGAGAAGACGGAACTACTCAACACCTACTTTGCCTCTGTCCTCACCCAAAAGTGATAACAGAATAAATGATGTAAGGGGGGAGCTGCAGCCCAAGATAGGAAAAGAGGTAGTAAGAAAACACCTAGGTACTTTAAATGAATTCGAATCTCCGGGGACTGATGAGCTGCATCCAAGGGTAATAAAGGAGCTTATGGATGTAATCTCAGAACCTTTGTCTATGATGTTTGAGAATTATTGGAGAACAGGTGAGGTCCCTGCAGACTTGAGGCAGGCAAATGTTGTCCCCATCTTCAAAAGGGGAGGGGGCAGGGGCAGAAGACCCAGATAATGGGTCAACATAATTCTATTTGCATGTCAAATGTGCACAGTGCATGTTTGGTTTTTGAAAAACATGACCTATAGTTTTGAAGTCATTAAGTCTATTACTACTCCTATCCTGGTCAAGTTACAGGTCACTATCCTAAAGAGAAAAAGGATACTGTACTAGTTTTTATACTTTACCAAAATATATTACAATAATGTCAATACTTCATTTGACTGTTATGGCTAAATATTTTCTTTTCTTTTCCTTAAGGCTCTCAACTTTATTAGCACTGTTCATTTTGCAGTTATGATCTTCCATGTTACATTAAAAGTAAATCACCCTTCAGAGCAATTAACTTTACAGATGTTTTCACGGTACACAAAAAGTCAAAACAAACACATTAATCTAATTACACTTTAAGCATCCTGTGCCTTTCACATACTGTCAGAATCAAAGTAGGATTTGTCATATGGGTGCTCACACTATTTCATTAGTTGCTGCCATTCTTTTGTCAGTGCAGATCTCTTGAATCTCTAGACAAACAATGAGACTTGTTTTGTTCTTTAAAAGGCTTCATATTAAAATAACTGTTCATATAAGGGTGTGGGGTGGTTACTGATTAAGGGTATAATACAGTACTAAGCTCCTGCAATTGCCTATTGCCATTTTATTAAATAGCAAGGTAAAACAACACAGTGTTCCCCCTTGCATCTGTTAATAAAAATACATGTTTCCCTAAAACACTATTCCCTCGATTCCCGCTTTTGACTGGCCCATCAAATAACACATTGACATAGCAATAACCATTCAGAAGTCTGTGTATAGCAATAACAGAACTAGAATACTTACATTTGCACATGTGGGGGCTGGAAACGTCCCTGGTTAATGTTGTAGAACGTGAATGCCTGTGTCGGGTTTGAGCTGTACTCATCAACTTCAATTATTAGTCTACTGTGCTGATGCCTTCTAGCTGTCATAACGTGCGACTGGGCAAAAGCCATGCTTGCTCTGTGTGAGGATGGTGATGCTTTTTCAGGGGGTCATCTCCACTATCTTCCTATACGGGCTAAAAATATCCATGTTCGTTCCGTACCTCATCATGCACAACTTTCCCTTCTGAAAACCTAGAAGCAGATTGGGGGGAAATGTAGTTGGCATAAGTGTTTGACAGTTAATCTGCCTGAAATACACTTTATTTAATGTCAGAAGGAGATTTAGGAGATGAAGATAAATGCTAACAACTTGAACATCTCATTACAAATCTCTCCATCTCAGCAACTTGACAATTTGATGTGTGTGTGGGGTGTGTGTGTGTGTGTGTGTGTTAGTGAGTAAGGAGGAAAACAAACTTATCAAAGGACACATGGCACAACATGTTCCAATGGTAAGGACTTTGAATCACAAATCTACTGAACAATGCAGTAATGCTTAGAAATTGCATGTCAGTTTTAATGTTTTGCAAACACAATTATTTAATTTTAATTCCCCCCTAGTCTAAGCGTATTAGTGAAGGTTTATATTATTGCTGCAATCTACTGCATGCCTGTGCGTGAAGAGATTCCAACCAAGTGTGTGTTCCAAAGAAATCAGTATAAGGTCTGTTTTCTCCTATGGTTCAATGGCACTCATAAAACCATGAATTACCCAGAGGAATGTTGTAACAGTTATAACTGAACATGCTTTGTTTAATCCAGAAAATGGGTGTCACAAATGTACATTCCTTTAATGATTATTTTTTCTCACATAAATATTTTTAAAGAATTTTCATGAAATTATTTTTTATGAAGACTGGATCTACCAAACCTAAATTGTGGCTCCCACATCTTTAAAAATACGACAAACAAATAGCACAATAATGACTATCTAAGGTTTGTACATTTTTGTCTGCTTTTCTATATATTTACTCAAGACTCCACCAAAATAATCCATTTTCAAAACCTGCAGCCTATTGTTTTGCATTGATTATCCACTTCCAGTGTATTTAAAAGTATGTTATTACATAGCCTGAGATCTGCAGGTTGAGGTGGAGCATTCACACAATTCTGTAAATGTAAATGAACATGTCAATGGAAATAATGCTGTTTGTGCACTTTCCCTTTTGACAAGTTTCCCTTCGTAAAATCAAACAATATGTAAATTTGGTACGTTTTTTTTAAAAAAAAGTTTAACGGCGTGAGGGGGGATTGCAGAAAACTCTGGAAAAATAAGGCATGAGCACTAGGTCATGTGCAGCTTCCCCTTTGGATTCTAACCATATCATTGGCATCTGTTTGTTCACTGTATCAGAATTTTATCACCTCCCAAACTAACATATCTTTTAAATAATTTCATCATTCCAGTCTCAAAATCTCATACTTTTCTCTGCAAGCACCAACAGTGGAAACTTACAGTTTCAAACCACAAATGTTTTCATCATCGCACATTCACATTGTCAGTGCTGCACCTCCTGAAAAACAAAAAATTAACAGAATTAATATCACTGGAATGATCACAGTGATGGTTATGCCCCTCCAAAATAGCACTGGCCTACCAGGGGGCGGGGGGGGGGAGTTGACAACCTGATTTGAAGGAAAATCACCTCTTCTATTTGAAAGAATAAAAACACCAAAAACTGTGTGAAAAAACGTTCATTGTTTATTTGGACTCAGTTGTAATAAACTGGGAATGGGCAATTTGCTAGCTATATTGAAAACATTATTATAAGTCCAGAAGGCCACATTCAATTTGTGAGACAACAAACCATCATTCATAAAACAGTTTGGAGATGATTATTACTTAAATTATTATCCATGTTTGCTCATAAAATATATATGCTGTAAAAGCAAAATGCATGCTTCGTCGTAAGTGCAATATTTTACTCTTTATAAAATAAGTTGTATCAGCCCAATAACATTTTATTTTCTGCATAAAGAAGGGAAACCCTGTAACACAGAAACAGAACCATAGTCTTCAGAAGAAAACTCAAAAAGGATTTACAACATTGCATATCTTGCGTTTATTTAGCCGATCACATATTTTAAAGACATTTTGAGTTGTTATAGAATGACAATATGATTGTTACTTTATTATAGTAGAAAATAGAACCAATGTGATTATTGTTATATATTTTGTCATTTCTAACCCTTGAGCACACTAATGTATAAAGGTGGTATACAAATTGAAAGTGAAATGAAATGAAATCATGCAATTTATAAACAGAAGCATAGGCAACCAGTCCACTTCTGAGAACAATTCAAAATGCTGATTTTGACATTTAAAAAAGGTTTTATGGGTTAGTACCAGAGTGTATATGCTGGTTCCTTAAAGAGTGAGTCAGCATACTTGTGAGAGTTGAGTCAGAGAGTGGCTCAGCACAATCTAAAGTATAAAGACCCTTGTGTTTATAGCAAGTTTCCTCTAAGCCCCCGCCTCTTGGCTCGAACGCTGGTGTATTGAATGGGCACTCTGCACATGCCCCAATATTCAGAAGGCCACTCCAATTCAGCTCATGGGAGAAATCAATGTCTTTTTCCCATCCAAGTGAGAAGCCAGGCAGGAAAGGGCTTTGGAGGGAGGGGTTTTTCCTCCGGAAGACCCCTCCCCATTTCCCCAAATGCCCCTACACTCCAGGAATCTAGTCTGGTTCATTTTAAGCCACAGAGAGGGACAAGCTGCAGGATCAGATCTCTCTGCATCTTTTTCAAAGCAGGACCCAAAGAGGAAATGCCCACAACACACCTCAGTGACACTTGAGGCTCCCAAATGAAACTGGCAAGGAAAGGTGAGGCAGCAATGCAAACAAATTGGGCCGGGACCTAAGAGGTTTGGACGCAGAGCAGACCCTCCCCATTGTGTGCAGTGTTGCTGAGCAGCTGGTAAAGTAAAGGTAAAGGTACCCCTGCCCGTACGGGCCAGTCTTGACAGACTCTAGGGTTGTGCGCCCATCTCACTCAAGAGGCCGGGGGCCAGCGCTGTCCGGAGACACTTCCGGGTCACGTGGCCAGCGTGACGAAGCTGCTCTGGCGAGCCAGCACCAGCGCAGCACACGGAAACGCCGTTTACCTTCCCGCCAGTAAGCGGTCCCTATTTATCTACTTGCACCCGGGGGTGCTTTTGAACTGCTAGGTTGGCAGGTGCTGGGACCGAGCAACGGGAGCGCACCCCGCCGCAGGGATTCGAACCGCCGACCTTTCAATCGGCAAGCCCTAGGCACTGAGGCTTTTACCCACAGCGCCACCCGCATCCCTGAGCAGCTGGTAAATCTGTGCAAATGAGAAACTGAAGTAGGTTGCTGCTGCTCTCTTTCCCTGGCCAGGAGATGGAAGAGGCAATGAATGAAAAGGTGGGGAAAGATTTGGGTGGGGTTTTTTACAAGGAGGGGGAGGGAAGGCTTGCAACTGGGAATTTGGGACTCTGCATGACAAAGTGAGAGGCCATGACGGCTTAAGGATTTTCATGAAGGTCCTACCTAGCATTTTTGTGGCAATTGAAAACTATGAAGATGGAGGTTTTCGTACTAAGCACAGCACAATCAGCACGTAGCACTTTTGAGGGAAATTCCCATGAAATGGGATTGACAACCCCAGGTTGTGGTACTTTCTGATCCAAAAATACGCAATCATAATTTGTTTTGTTAATGTTTTAAGATATGCAAAATGAGAAGGTTTGTAGATATTTACCTAATTTATAAGCAACTTAGTCAAGTGTCTAAAACTAGATGCAAGTTAAACGTCTTGCTGGATTGGAGAAGATTTGCCATATGTTAGTTATTCTGTTGTATCAAAAGGCAATTGTAGTTTCTGCCCTCTGCTCAAGGAGAACATAGTTGGGAGAGCCCACATTTGTAGACAGCTTGCAAGTGGAGGGATCTGCAAACCTGTTGATCTAAACCAGGGGTCAGCAAACTTTTTCAGCAGAGGGCTGGTCCACTGTCCCTCAGACCTAGTGGGGGGCCAGACTATATTTTGAAGGGGGGGGGGAATGAACCAATTCCTATGCCCCACAAATTTTAAATAAAAAGGACACATTCTACTCATGTAAAAACACGCGAATTCCCGGACCGTCCGCGGGCCAGATTTAGAAGGTGATTGGGCCGCATCCTGCCCCGGGCCTTAGTTTGCCTACCCATGGTCTAAACCTTCCTCTCTGTCATTTTTGCCAAAGCACAATAGTAGGCTCACAGGGTTGTAGTTAAAGAAGTCATTCCATTCACACAGAATGCTTGACCCTTCCTCTCCTCGCTCCATGCACACTCCAGATATGTTCTGAGTTTTCCCCCAACCCTCTAGAGAACTTTTGGAGGGCACACAGGGACAAGGGGAGAGGAGAGTGTTGTGCCGGAAAAAGTACCTGCAGGATCACTGGATACAACGCATACAGTCTGTCTTGTTTCAAGACTCTGAGCTCCTTTCCACAAATCATGAATACTGTAAAGTTTTGTTTGATATACATTTAATAATAAAAAGAATGAGCAAATCCCCTGTACATGGGACTCTGACGTGTGGAGGGATAAATGGATCACTGGATGCCTCAAGAGGCAAGGAAAACCTTAAGCAACCAGTGGCGTTGTGAGTGGATGCTCTGAGAGCTTCCACATCTTGCTTCCTGCACTAAAAGGACTAATACAACTATCTGTGGCATGTAAAATCAGCTGTAGTTTTTAGCCTGGTGTGACCTTTCAGAGGCAATACATTATTATTTTATGCCCCTTAATAAAGAAATCTCATTCTATGAGATGAATAGGTGTTTATAGGACTTTGGATTTTTGCTTTTTTTGCTGAAGAATATTTACTCTTCACTCTAACATATTCCATCATTGTTGACATGTCTACAGAAAGTAATTCCATCTTTTGCATTTTGCCATTTTTCAATCACATTTTAGTTGCTCTTTTTATTTACAGATAAGGCAATATTTCTCTGAACTCTTTCTTCCTGATTTCCATTTTTCTAACTCTTTGCTTCTGCTTTCATAATGTCTCTCTTTCCACTATCTACTGTTCCCTGTTCAACTTTTGCTATACCTATACAGTGTATTTCACAAACCCCAGAGATACACCCCCATAGTGATTATCTCTTATAACTGCAATCTAATATTGAAACAAAAAACTGCTCACATACAGCATAATATTTATAATGAAGGTTGGAAATACATAAAAATAACAAGAGAGAACATGGGATTTAAGCAGTTAAAGTGTGGAGAAGACAAGTGCATTTTCATATGATATTTGCAAATCTATAACATGCTGATGATGCAAGGATAAATTGAATGTTAGGGGGAGATAGGAATGACCTGATATCCAGTGGGAAAAGATGGTATAATCAGATGGGTAAAAGTAAAAGTATTTCATAAAATTATTAATCATACAAAGGCTAAGCTACATATGCCTCAGAGATGTCTGAATGCACCTTTGTCTTTTGACATTTTCTTCATACAGAAATGCTGGAGGCCTAATCTAATCAGTACTACAGATTGAGCAGATTTACCACCATCCCTCCCTGAGGCTATTTGGAATTGACACATATATGGTTTTCCTAGCAGGAGAGGCAGATTTCCGGCAGCACGAATGGTTCCCCAACACAGAGCGCAGGGGGCAAGGGGGCACCTCCTGGCTTCCTTTCCAAAGTCTAGGAAGCGCTGGGCTTTGGGAAGGAGGTGTGACAGGAACCTAGAGTCCCCCCTCCCTCCCCCGACTCCTTCCCAAAGCCTAGTTAGCACTTGCCCAACTTTGGGAAGGCAGCGGGATGTCAAATGTTGGCGTCACACAGAGGGCCATATTACCAAGGTCCGCCTCTGCTAGCAGGCCAAAACGGGGGGGGGGGGGGCTGACTTTCTTGGACGTGGAAGGGTTAAATTCTCAATTCCCTTGTGCTGCAGCCCCTGTACATATTGAAACTCTCCAGACAATTTAAAAAGTGAGAGAGAGATGGAGGAGCACCTGAGATCTCATCTGCTTCTGAGTAAGATACCTTCTGAAGCCTGTTCACAATTCATCTGTGTGTGCTTCTCAGTGCTCCTCTATATGGCCTGTATACTGAACCTCATACAGATTTGCTTACATGCAGCTTACATGGTGAACCACTTCCCATTAACCCTTCATTCACCCTACACTTTCCAGTACATTTCCCTGTGACTTCCCTAACTGCAGAAAGTCTGCATTTATATATATATATATATATATATATATATATATATATATATATATATGTTGATTTGCTCCACTGGGGTGCCCTAGCACTTTAACCCACTTTGATTGTGCAAACCTAAATTTGCAAAAACCTGAATTATTGGTAAGTACAGTCTGGAGGCACTTTCATGCATGCAAGTTCCTGCACATGGAGGAAGCACTACCCCCTTCACCTCAGTTGTAATCCTCATTCTCTTGCTTGACAACAGAGAATACCTGTGCAATGAAGCACTTTGCTAGAACTGCTGCTTGCAGAGTTCCAATTAGTTCCTCACTCAAACATAGGCACATCACTTCTTGTTTCTCAGCGGCAGTGACACTCCCAGGAACCCAGCTTCTAGGACCACCTCCGCCTTCAGGAGTGAAGGAGGTACTGGAGTTTAAAAGTTTGGGATTTCTATTACCTAATCCAGAGGTTTTCAACCTTTTTGGGTCCATGGGTCCCTTGACCAACTACATTCTTTCTGCGGCACCCATGTGAGGCTCAGGAGCCCAGATAGGTCACCCTTGCCTGCAGAGCCGGCAGCCTCTCACCCTTTTTCAAACACCCTCCCTTGTGAAGTGTTCCCTCTCTGAGCTGCCCCTCTCCTGCCCCAAAGAGAGGTGCCTCCTCACACTGCCCCACGGGGCCTGGCACTTGTCTGTCCATTCCCAACAACGAGGGACTGGCAGGCTGGGCTCCCTCACCCACTTGCTTGCTTACTCCAAGGATGCCTCAGCTCCTGGAAACCAGCACCCCCTGGCCAGCCCCAGAGACACCATTCACATGGGGAGCTTATAGCCAGGGCTGCTGCAACAAACAGCTGTGCAAGCCTTGGGGAGGCAGAGATGCAAGAGGGCATCAGAGGGAGGGAGGCAAGGAGGGAAGGAAAGAGGGACAGAGGCCAGTGTTGCCCGTGGCACCCCTGACCATTATTTAAGGCACCCCAGGGTGCCAAGGCACACTGGTGGAAAACCACGGACCTAATCAGTAACTTTCCACCAATTTATGGAACTGACATCAATATTGTTATGAACTGACATTTAGGCATCTGCAGTCTGAAGTCAATGATGTGCGTAAATACTGGCAGAACTGAGAACCCTGAAATAACGGTCTTGGTTGAAAATGTAAATGAATGAACCTTTTTCAAAAGTGTAATTTTAAGTTGAAACTGTGCCTAGCATGGAAATATGCACTTACAAGCCAACTCATTAAAATTTGACTGCATTATATATCTGCCATTACTGTCAATGGGAGTTAAACAAGCATCTTGAAAGGAGAACCAAATCCTTTGGGACACTTTAAACTGCAATCTATAGTGATTTCTCACTTTCTCTCTCCACTCCCATAACTTTCTTGAAGACAGAACAATTATGGATTAGTATTCAAAACCAAAAAACCTAAGCCTATTTCTAACTAGAAGTAAACATGAAACATTTTTAAACCACTTTGGTTTTTGAGCAGTTTATTTATATAATGGTCAATTACAACTAAGTGCACTTCCATATTTGTAGGACTAGTCACTAAAAGGCAAGAGGCTATTAGGCAGAAAATCTCCTGAGTGTCCTGCATCCATACTTGCAAGAAAGAATAAGTCTGTGATTGCCTGGGTCAGTGGACCCTGTGGCAGATCAGCTAAAATGATATTGCAGCAGTGACCAGTTCAACCACAAAGTAAAACTGAGGAAACTGAGGAAAAATTAAATGGGCTTGCAGAGAACTAGGCATTGAGAGTGCAGGGGACAGGACAGAAATTCAGAGAGGCCAAAGGACCACAAGACAAACACAAGTACCAAAGAGAGATTTATATAAGTGTTTATATGCTAATGCTAGACACCTCCAAGTGGGAGCGCTTTGTCTTAGAGGATGGCATTGATATAGTACGCATAATAGAAACCTGGTGGAATGGAAAAAACCAGTGGGGCGTTGTTATCTCTGGATATAAAGTCTACAGGAAGCAAAAAGAAGGGTGTACCTAAGGTTGTGTCGCTATGAACGTCACAGACAGCATTGAATCCCGCTAGCTAGAAATCCCAAAAGTGACGAATACTTCTATAGAATCATTGTGGGTGGTGATACTGGGCCCCAGGGGTCCAGGGAGATCTTGAGATGAATAATGAAATCAAGCATCAAAAGAGGACACATTGTAGTAATGAGTGGCTGAAACTACCCTCACACAGACTGGCTGCATATGTGCTCCAGTCATGACAAGGAGGTAACATTTCTAGAGATCTTAAATGACTGTAGCCTAGAACAGTTGGTGGTAGAACCAACCAGAGGGGTGGCAACCTTGGACCTAATTTTGAGAGGGACCCCCCCCCAGCACCTGATATGAGATGTATGTGTTGCTGAGCCATTTGGGAGCAGTGACCATGGTGCTATTAAATTAAATATACATGTAAATGATCTAAGAATATCCAACACAGTGCATTTGATTTCAAAAGAAGAAACCTCCCCCAAATGAAGAGAAAGTTGGTAAAAAGGAAGTTGAAAGGCAAAGTCAAGAGGGTCAAAGCACTTCAAAATATTTGCGAGTTGTTTAAAAACAGAGTATTAGAAACTCAACTGGAGTGTATACCACAGATCAAGAAAGGTACCATGAGGGTCAAGAGAACACCAGTCTGGTTAATGAGCAGAGTCATAGAGTTGGAAGGGACCCCAAGGGTCATCTAGTCCAACCCCCTGCATTGCAGGAATCACAGCTAAAGCGTCCATGACAGATGGCCATCCAAGCTCTGCTTAAAACCCTCCAAGGAAGGACAGTCAAAGCAGCTTTTAGAGGCTTTCTTCAAAAAACTGAAGGCTTGTCCCAAAAAAGGAAACAAGAACACAAACTTGGGGTGGGGAGGTGCAAGCAGACAGTAAGGAATGCTAAAATAGAATTTGAAGAACACATGGCTAAAAATGTTAAGTCCAACAACAGGAAGTCCTTTGAATATATTAATAGCAGGAAGTAGCAAGGAGACAGTTGGACCCTTGGATGATAAAGGAGTCAAAGGAGTGCTAAAGAATGATAGGGGTTGAGGAGAAGCTGAATGAATACCTTGCATCTGTCTTCATGACAGAAGGTATAGGGCAGGTCCCTGTGCCTGAACTAACCTTTGCAGGAGGTGAGTTTGTAAAACTAAGGGAGATAGTGGTGATGAGAGATGAGGGTCTAAGACAAATAAACAAAATAAAAACGGAGAAATCACTGGGTCCAGATGGAATCCAACTGAGAGTACTTATGTGAAAATGCTGATCTTCTAATAAAAATATGTAACTTGTCTCTCAGAGCAGCATCCATACCCGAGGACTAGAAAGTAGCCAAGGCAACATGTTTTTTAAAACATAGATCCAGCAGAGATCCCTGCAAATTACAGGCTGGTTAGCTGAATGCCCCCAGAAAACTGGTGGAAAGTATTGTTAAAGATAAAATAACCAAGCACACTGGGGAACAAACCTTACTGAAGCAGAGCCAGCATAGCTTCTGCAAATGGAAGGTCTGTCTCATAAACCTGGTAAAGTTCTTTGAAAGTGTCAACAAGTGTACAGATAGAAGTGATCCAGCTGACATAGTGTACTTGGACTTCCGAAAAGCTTTGGACAAAGTATCCCACCAAAGACTCCTGAGTAGGTTTAGCAGTCACTGAATACAAGGATAGGTCCTCTTGTGGATCAGGAATTGGTTAAGAAATGCATAACCAGAAAAGAGGACAAACAAGGACACGTTACCATAAACTCTGCAGATGCTGATTTAAATGTATAGATGGAAATTCAGACACAACGACTAGAAACACATCTCATCATAGAAGAGAGGACAGTGATCAGGTTCCTTGTGAGTCTTCTCAGTCTACTGCCCAGGTATTGTTGAAGAGCCATCCAGTTGGTGTTGGTGAGCCCCATTCTCTATTCAAGGTCAATCCCAGAGTCTCACAGTTTTTTTATCTTGCAGCTGGAAATTCCCCCAGCCCTACTCTCTTCCCTTGCATGTTTCCTTACCATCCCATGCCTTAATTTTCTCTGTTAACATTTCTGTGGCACCATCACTTGTCTCTAGGAGTAATTTAATGAAAAGTAGCCTCACCTCCCTGTCTTCTCACTTCTCATTTCTGATCCTTCATATGCTAACATCTCTCCTTATTTTTCCTTATGAAGCATTCCCTTCCCCTACTTCTGTTTTGCTTTCTCCCCAGGAAATTCCATTTGAGTGCAGCATGTATGAACACCTGTGACTGTACATAAATTGTCGCCCACTCTTATCCAAGTCCTTGTCTAACATATATATAGGATAGGAACAATCTATCTTCATTTTATATCTGTAAAATGAGACGGGCTCCAAATCTAATTAAGTCCATAAATAAAGAATTGTAGACAAGAAGGGTAACATTTTCTTGGTAAGTTCTTATAAATCAGACTAATTCCATGTAAAATGTAAGAGGAAAACAAAGGAACTGTTCATTTACAGGAAAATTAGGACTCACAGTGAAAGACTAATTATATTTGTCAGTGTTCTGCATCAAAATGACACCTGACCATCTATTTATTTAATGACTCCAAATCCAGATATTAAATGTTTTTCCATGATTTACTTTCTACAATGATCAAATTGTGATATAGTAAAAATGGTTTTCCTTTACCGTGCTAGACTTTTAAAATTTGTTACAACTCAAAATATAGCCTGATTTTAAGAACAATTCATTTGCTTGCTGCCGGTTAATTACCTAAGGAATTTAACAGGATTTTTTTTAAAAAAAGAAAACATTCACTCTTTAATTAGTTTCTAAAACTAATGGAGAAAAATGATTCTTATGTTACATTAGTCATTTTATTTAAAAGCATTTATAAAGGGAAGTTTAAACAAAAAATGAATGATGCTGTTGCATGTATGCCTTGTGTAAAACAAGAAATGATGCAGGTTTCCAGAAATCTATTCACAAATCTTTGTTGCAAAAGCAACAAATAATCCTTTGGCACCTGACAAGGTGGGCTGTAATCAAAAAAAGCTTAAGCCATTATTATTATTATTATTATTATTAAAGCATTTAAAGTGCTACAGGTCTCTTAGTTTTCAATCAATCAGAAAGAAACATAGGTATATGTTATAACCTACAATTTTAAAAAAATCTTCATCCTCTCCTTAATAATCAAACAATACCAATGAGTTAAAGTGCAAATCATTTAGGTTGCAATTCTACACATCAGAGTTAGGGTACCCCCCCGACAAAAAAAAAAAAAGGTTTGTAAGGCCTTTGGACAGGAGCTTTATAATTTTTGAACAATGAACTTTTACACTGTTGGTATTAGTTAAATGTGAAATAGTGGAATTTAAAATAGTAAAAATGCAGTAATTTCATCTGCTGTCTGGCTTGGTACTATCACTAGAAACTAAGTCAGTGATTTTTGTGACCAATTCGTTTAAGGATTTATGTTTAGAAAATTCAGACAAAAATATTCACCTATAAATAAATTCATCGTGAATTTGTTTTCTGTTTTTCTTTTTATTATGTATTTTGTTGTATGTATTTTGTGAACTTCCCTGAGATCAACGGATGAAGAGCAATACACAAATTTAATAAATAAATTAAACAAAAACAAAAGTTAAGAGCACTCCTAGCAAAAAAGAAGAAAAAATGCCTTCTACTTTCAGTGGAAAGGAACATCCAAACGTTAAAAAGCTAGCTTGCAGCTTCCAAATGCCTTGTGACACTCAAGTCTCACACTTTTTCAGCCCCATAGTCCCCACACAAATAAATCCCAGAGCACTCCAATCCCACCCCTACACACCAATTCTGGATCCAAATCTGTTCCCCTTTGCTGTCTTCGGTCACTGACCCCTTATAACCCTTACCACCCTATTAACACACCCCTTAACACACCTCCACAACACACAGTACTGTCTTTCTGTTTCCTAAAGTAAGTCACCAATGGATCTGACATGGTTCTCTATATCACTTCTAGAAGGGTTCTACTTCATCTTTAGACAGGTTATTCATCACTATTTCTAATGTATAACCTAAATCTCTTAACCCATCGTTTAATCAATTTACTTGTTATCTATCTTCTTTGGGCAGGTGTAGGGAGGGGGAAAACAGCTTAAAGCTGCCAAGCATAGTGCCACCTTTTTTTCCTTCTTTTCTCCTACACACCTAATGTAAGGACAAAGAGAGAGTAGGAGAACTTCATTACTAGGGGTAGATGGTTTTACACTCAAATTTTCACTAACGTGTTTATGATGCAGAAAGGAAGTACTGTATTCAACATCCTCAATCAACCAACTCCTTCCAAATCCAAACCGAAAATGGCGACATATTTAATATGATGCCAGCATAGCAGGCAAGGTTTTCAAGGGAAGGTGATCTTATACTGAAAATGGCCTTCCATTGCAAGACTGTTAGAACAAGATTTGGCAACAAATTTCACATGCGGTATTATCATCAAATTAAGTAATTAAACTGCAGAGGATGGTGGTAATGGTTAATTGTTATGCTTCAGATAAGCCACCAGACATAAGATCTTACAAAACATGCGATCAGTAAGACCCTTTCCAGGAACATCACTATCTAAACAAGAATGACACTGGTATTCATGTATTCTATTATAAAAAGTAATTAACTCTCCCTTGTGGATAGCAACATCCCCTGGAAGTTTTTGCCTCATCTACTAAAGATGGTCGGACTGAAATTGTTTAGGTAAAACAATGCAAATGAGGTCTGTGAACTTCCTGGACTGTCTGAAGTGAACAATTATTTCCATAACTTCTGTGAGTATTATTTGTTATAGCTTGCCTATAAAAAAAACTGCAACATAAAGGTTGTTCAACCAAACCATAATATGCTGCTTCTCATAAGTGGCCCAGAAACTTAAGCCGTGTACACACAATACATTTAAAGCATGCCCCACCCTCCCCCAATTATCATGGGAACTGTACTATTAAGGGCCCTGGGAATTTTAACTAGGGGTAAACCAGTTTCCAAGATATACAACCCCGATATCTATAGATGATAGGAGGACTGTAACAACTACAGTATTGGCCATCTTTACACTGAGACCAATAACACCTCCAATATAACAAACAGACGTAAACTATAGAAATAAACATTAACACTACCATAAATGAACAAGCTACAGATTTCACCTTTAAGATTGGATCACATTATTATTGTAAAACTGAATTCCTAATTCAGAAAAGCAGCTAAAGGTATTGGTATCAATTGTGAGATAGATTCCTCAGTCACACCAGATAGAACATTGCTTACAAGATGTCAGAAATCCTAGCAGTCATATCACTTCCTAAACCTTAAGAGGGAGAAAAGGAGAGAGAGAGTGTTCATAAATATGCACTGCACTAACTTATATATGCATACAATATACACTCCCTGCAGGTAGAAATTTTAAGGTTGCAATTTAATAAAAATTGCCTATCATGTGAGATAATGAAATAAACCTTGAGATGACAGTTTAAACATATCATTACGACTCCATGGCTAAATTACAGCCTAGAATATACCAGCTTTTTGCCATACTTAACGGCATATGGGATCACACTTAATAAGATTTCAAGAAAATACATTTATTAAGGCGAAAGCATTTTAAACACAGTATGAATTTAAGTGTCCAAATTTTACATGTCCAAAAACATTAAACTATTGTTGTTACTGTTTTTGTTTTTCCAGGTCCATTACATCCTACTGTTCTCTTTCAGATTCTAAAACTCCAATATAGTTTCTCCAGTATTTTTCCCAAAGGAATTATCAATGGCCTGCTACCTTGAACATACATACATATCACTGTGCTTTACTAGAAGGAACTTTCAAAATTCAATATCCTCAATTTCATTGACAGATGTGCGAGAACAATAGTCTGTTACACCATAGGCTAGTGACTTTTGCTACATCCAACATTAAGTAACATACTGGGACGTAACAATTATGCTTCAAGCAGATACCAGTGCTTCTGCAGGGTGAAGGCAATGAATTCACTTACTGACCCCAAACAGAAAAACAATGCCACTGACATGACTTCATTTTTTGTCTTATTACTACCACTGACGAAGTAAAATGTAGGGCAGAGGACACAAGTTGTCCAGTAGAAATCCATTGAGCGGTGCTCTAACCCAAACTCCAAGACCCCAACGCAGCTGAAGTTAGTCCTGTGGCAGAGAGCGCCACGCAATTCAATGGCATTTACTTCTGAGCAAACAGGACTTGACCTGCGAACCCCCTTGAATGGCATTTAACTTCTCGCGTTGGTGTCAGCAGGATAGAGGCCAACCTTATGCACATTTTACCCGGAAGAAACACTTGATGATTTCAGTGAGCATCCCTAATAAGCCTTGCCGGGGCTGCAGGATGATCCGGGTTGGAGCCGGTTTCCAAGGAATTATTTTATTTTATTACTATTATTAAAGGGGGAAGAAAAAGCCAAGCATGTGCGCAGGAACGAAAAAGTGCCGGGTTTGGAAGGAGCATGGGCTTCCGAGGATTTAGGGACCGCTTTGCAAAGTCACCCGCGGACAAGAGGCTCTTAAGAAATTGGGGGGTGGAGGAGGAGGAGGAGATGCTCCGGGAAAGAGCCGAGCGGCGGAGGAAGAGCGGCAGGAGCGCGGCGGAGGGACGGGGGAGCCCGCCTGGCCGAGGTCGGCGTCCTGCAGCCGCCCAGCCCCGCAATGCCTCCTTCGCCCGGAGGAGCCTCCGCGGGAACTCGGCAAACTCCGGACTAACTTCGCGGAGGGGGAGACCCCCGCCGCCCCGTCTCCTCCTCCGCCGCCTCCCGCTCCGCTTTGTTCGGAGCCCCGAAGCAGCCGGGAAGAAGGATCTAGAAGCGGAAGGCGGGAGCCGCAGACACGCGAACACGCGCGCACACACACGAGCCGGGGAGGGAGACGCGTGACAGGCAGAGCGCGGCGGGTCCCTTACCTGCTTCCGAGACGAGGCGGAGGAGGAACCTGGAAAAACAACAAAGCCCGCCAAAGCCCGCGGCGGGGAGGAAGGGGAAGGAGAGGCGCCCAGGGGCTTCCCACAAGCAGCAGCCGCCGCCGCCGCCGCGCTCTCGCTCGCTGCCTCTCTCGCCTGCCTCGCCCGCGCGAGGGAAGCGGCCCCCATCGCGGCTTCGGCGGGGCGGGCGGGAGAACCGCCTCCCCGGCAGGCAGGCAGGCAGAGGCAGGCCGGCCCTCCTCCTCCTCCTCCTCCTCCTCCTCCTTGGGCAGGGGGTGCCCGCCTCGCCCCCGCGCCAATGGCAGGCGGGCTCCCTCAGCGCCCCCCGCCCGCCTCTCTCTCCGTCCCGCCAAGGCGTCGCCTCCCTTCGCCGCTTCACCTCCTCGCTCGCTCTCCCGCCAAGACTCACTTCTCCTCACGGAGCCCGTCTCTGCCTCGCGCTCCTCTTCCTCCTCTTCCTCCTCCTTTTAAAGCGCGCAGCCATCTCTGGCAACGGGGCTCCCGGTCTCCCCTCCCCCTTCGCCCCCACCTCTTCCTGGGGGGCCCCGGCGCCTCGCCACCCCCGAGACAGAGCCCGGCCGCCGCCGCCGCCCCGGCTCAGCCCCCTCAGAGACGCGCCTCCGGGCGCCTCCTTCCCTCGCTCGCTCGCTCCCCGGCCTGAGGAGAAAGGGGGAGGGGGGCGACGACCACTCCGAGGGGCGCATTGGGGCCGCCCTCGCCCACCGACCCCCTCTGGGTCGCCGTCTCCTCAGCCGCGGCGGGGGGGCGGCGTGAGGGATTCGCCCGCAGCCCGTGTGGAAAGGACCTTGGGGTCCGAGGGGCTCAGCGGTTCCGGGTCTGACCCTCGGGGGCCCTCCCTGCCCTCTAAGTCTAGGGCTGTGATGAAGGACCAGATGCACCAAAGAAAGACACCTGGCTGGGCAGCAGTAGCACGTGTGAAAAGGGTCTTGGGGGACCACAAGCTGAGCATGAGGGAACAGTGTGATGCAGCAGCAGAAAGAAAGCTAATGCAATTCTAGGCGCATCAACAGAATTATAGTGTCCAGATCAAGGAAAGTAATAGTACCACTCTATTCTGCCTTAGGGACCGCTCCGGCGGGAAGGTAAACGGTGTTCCATGCGCTGCTCTGGTTCTCCAGAAGCGGCTTAGTCATGCTGGCCACATGACCCGGAAGCTGTACGCCGGCTCCCTCGGCCAAAAAAGCGAGATGAGCACCACAACCCCAGAGTCAGTCATGACTGGACCTAACTGCCTTAGTCAGACCACACCTGGAATACTGTGTCCAGTTCTGGGCACCACAGTTTAAGAATATAATAATAATAATTTATTATTTATACCCCGCCCATCTGGCTGGGTTTCCCCAGCCACTCTGGGCGGCTTCCAACAGAATATTAAAATACTGTGATACATCAAACATTAAAAGCTTCCCTAAACAGGTCTGCCTTCAGATGTCTTCTAAAAGTCTGGTAGTTGTTGTTCTCTTTGACATCTGGTGGGAGGGCGTTCCACAGGGAGGGCGCCACTACCGAGAAGGCCCTCTGCCTGGTTCCCTGTAACTTGGCTTCTCGCAGTGAGGGAACCGCCAGAAGGCCCTCGGTGCTGGACCTCAGTGTCCGGGTAGAACGATGGGGGTGGAGACGCTCCTTCAGGTATACTGGACCGAGGCCGTTTAGGGCTTTAAAGGTCAGCACCAACACTTTGAATTGTGCTCGGAAACGTACTGGGAGCCAATGTAGGTCTTTCAAGACCGGTGTTATATGGTCTCGGCGGCCGCTCCCAGTCACCAGTCTGGCTGCTGCGTTCTGGATTAGTTGTAGTTTCCGGATCACCTTCAAAGGTAGCCCCACATAGAGCGCATTGCAGTAGTCCAAGCGGGAGATAACCAGAGCATGCACCACTCTGGCGAGACAGTCTGCAGGCAGATAGGGTCTCAGCCTGCGTACCAGATGGAGCTGGTACACAGCTGCCCTGGACACGGATTTAACCTGTGCCTCCATGGACAGCTGTGAGTCCAGAATGACTCCCAGGCTGCGCACCTGGTCCTTCAGGGGCACAGTTACCCCATTCAGGACCAGGGAATCCTCCACACCTGCCCACCTCCTGTCCCCCAGAAACAGTACTTCTGTCTTGTCAGGATTCAGTCTCAATCTGTTAGCCGCCATCCATCCTCCAACCGCCTCCAGACACTCACACAGGACCGTCACCGCCTTCACTGGTTCTGATTTGAAAGAGAGATAGAGCTGGGTATCATCTGCAGATGGATGAACACCCAGCCCAAACCCCCTGATGATCTCTCCCAGCGGCTGCATGTAGATGTTGAAAAGCATGGGGGAGAGGACAGAACCCTTAGGCACCCCACAAGTGAGAGCCCAGGGGTCTGAACACTCATCCCCCACCACCACTTTCTGGACACGGCCCAGGAGGAAGGAGCGAAACCACTGTATAACAGTGCCCCCAGCTCCCAGCCCCTCTAGACGGTCCAGAAGGATGTTATGGTTGATGGTGTCAAAGGCTGCTGAGAGATCCAGCAGAACTAGGAAGCAGCTCTCACCTTTGTCCCTAGCCTGCCGGAGATCATCAACCAGTGCGACTAAGGCAGTTTCAGTCCCATGATGAGGCCTGAATCCCGACTGGAAGGGATCCAAATGGTCCGCTTCTTCCAGGCGTGCCTGGAGTTGTTCAGCAACCACTCCCTCAATCACCTTGCCCAAGAATGGAAGATTTGAAACTGGGCGATAGTTGGCCATTGTGGCCGCATCTAAAGATGGTTTTTTAAGAAGCGGTTTAATAACCGCCTCTTTCAGCAGGTCTGGGAAGGCTCCCTCACGGAGGGAAGCATTCACCACCCCACGAAGCCCATCGCCCAGCCCTTCCCGGCTAGCTTTTATAAGCCAGGATGGGCAAGGATCAAGGAGACAGGTGGTTGGTTTCACTCGTCCAAGCAGCCTGTCCACATCCTGTTGGCAAGAAGGATGTTGGCAAGCTGGAACAGGTGCAGAGGAAGGTGACCAAGATGATCAAGGGTCTGGAAAGCCTTATGAGGAATGGTTGAAGGAGCTGGGTATGTTTAGCCTGGAAAAGAGGAAACTGAGAGGAGATAGGAGAAACATCTTCAAATCTCTCAAGGGCTGTCAAGATGGAGCAAGTTTGTTTTCTTCTTCTCTGGAGGGTAGGACTCGAACCAATGCCATCAGGAAAGGAGATTCCAGCTAAACATCAGGAAAAACTTTCTGACAGTAAGAGCTGTTCAGCAGCGGAACAGACTCCCACGAAAGGTGGTGGACTCTCCTCCTTTGGAGGTTTTTTCTGAGTTGAGATTTTTGCATTGCAGGGGGTTGGACTAGATGACCCTTAGGGTCCCTTCCCTACCGTTCTGTGATTCATACATTATGTATTTATCTGCTACATTCTCTTTTTGCCCTTCTGCTAATGTGCTCAATGTGGCTAACATTGTAAAGTCATGGCTTACAATCAAACATGATATGAAGTGGGTGGGGGGAAGAATGCGGAGGAAACTAATGCGCAGAACTCTCTGCACCCAAAGCCAGAAGTCACTTATGGCTCAGTTTAATCTACCTCACAGGGCTACTGTGACTTGTAGCATGCTCTTGTGAGTCTTCAAAAAGCCATGCTGGTAACAGTACACTAGAGCAGTGGTCTTCAATCAGTGTGCCTTGAATGATGCTCAGGTGTGCCTCAGGCAACGCTGGCCTCTGTCCCTCTTTCCTTCCCTCCCTCCCTCTGATGCCCTCTTGCATCTCTGCCTCCCCAAGGCTTGCACAGCTGTTTGTTGCAGCAGCCCTGGCTATAAGCTCCCCATGTGAATGGTGTCTCTGGGGCTGGCCAGGGGGTGCTGGTTTCCAGGAGCTGAGGCATCCTTGGAGTAAGCAAGCAAGTGGGTGAGGGAGCCCAGCCTGCCAGTCCCTCGTTGTTGGGAATGGACAGACAAGTGCAAGGCCCCGTGGGGCAGTGTGAGGAGGCACCTCTCTTTGGGGCAGGGGCGGGGCAGCTCAGAGAGGGAACACTTCACAAGGGAGGGTGTTTGAAAAAGGGTGAGAGGCTGCCAGCTCTGCAGGCAAGGGTGACCTAACTGGGCTCCTGAGCCTCACATGGGTGCCGCAGAAAGAATGTAGTTGGTCAAGGGACCCATGGACCCAAAAAGGTTGAAAACCTTTGCACAAGAGAATCATCCGTCCATGTCACAAACTCCCCAGTGGCTACTGCAGAGGGAGAACTTACCCTTAGTAACTCTTCTCTTCTTCTAACTCTTCTGGCTTACTTTCATCTCTCGGTAGTCAACTTTCAGACCTGACACAAATGCTTTGTACATATCACCAACTTAAAGCAAGGCTGGGTCATTCTTTTTCTCAATTAAGATTGAAGCAGGTTTGGCACGGGGAACACATCAGAACACAGCATTTTGTCAAAAATGACAGGACAGGTACAGAATAGATATGGACTGTGGCTAACGTCATGGTTACAACACTTATTATTAATTAATTAAATTTGTATACCGCCCAATACCTACAGGTCTCAGGGTGGTTCACAGGATAAAATCAGAATATAAAACCACAAAGTACATAAAACAAAAACAACGAAATAAGTCCCCCTCAAACACGTTTTAAAAGAGGGATGTCAATTAAAAGGGATGTCAATTAGCCAAAGGCCTGGTTAAAGAGGAACATTTTTGCCTGATGCCTAAAGGTGTATAATGAAGGCATCAGGCCAGCCTCCCTGAGGAGAGCATTCCACAAACGGGGAGCCACCACTGAAAAGGCCCTACTCTTGGGTTGCCACCCTTCGGACCTCGCGTAGAGGAGGCACACAAAGAAGGGCCACTTTGCAAACATGGGCATAGCCAGGCTTTATTTTAGTGGCGAAAGAACCAAGTTATCTGTGATGCAATTTGTCAGTTAAGTATTTTTATTTATTTACTTGATTTTGGGGGGACAGCTGCCCCCCCACTACGCCCCTGTTCCAAACCAGCTGTAGGCATGTGCTGTATGCAAAGTTAACGGACGTGTACATGGCCTGCAATTACCTTTAGAACTAAATTATCTGTCTCCATGTATGAATGTTATTAATGTGAGATTAAAAATCATTTTAATCGCCCCAATGTACACATGTCGAAGATGCAAACACCAATTTAAACATCACTTTTTTGTAAATGGTTTAGAATCCCACAAAAATCACAGAAAACAATGCATTGGAATGGTTCTGTAAATTAACATTTTGCTATTTTTTAGCACTGTGATTGTGAAAACAGTAAGAAAAACGGGATATTTGTAATCTGAGGATATTTATACGTTTGCCACAAGGGAATGAAAGTTGCATACAATAAAATACCAAAATCAAAAACTCACAGTGCCAGTTAAAATATACCCCCAGGAACAGAAACACTTCACAAATAGAAATTATTTCAACTAAATGTCAACAGGGAAGATGCCAGACAAATCTCCGCAGGGGTAGCATACTGTAGAGTGGGTGCTATTATTGATAAAGCGCTACTCCTGATCTTTGCCAATCAAACCTGAGTGAAAGGGAAAACATGGAGCTGATATCCAGTATCAGGGCGGGAAATTTGTGA